AAAAAAAAAAAAAAAAAAAAAAAAAAAAAAAAAAAAGTTTTTGATGAAACACCAAAGTCTCACCTGAGTGCTGTGGGTGACTGAGGAACTTCAGAAAGCGCCAACGACTCTTCTATTTGGAACTCTTTCTTTGACATTCAAGGAAGCGCCTCCCTTTGACAATAATTGTCAGCCAACTGGAAGGAGGGTGGTCTAGCTTTGTGGGTAGAGCAGGCATCGGGCCCCAAGGACTAGGATCGGAGCCGGAGTCAGCAGCTAAAGCCAAGGGTCAAACTGGAGGGCGGGAACCGGATACCAGAGTCAAGTGAGAGTCAGTAGTGAGGAGCCAAGGACCAGGTCAAACCGGACGGCAGGAATTGGAGCAAACAGGGTAGAAGGCAAGGAGGGGTTCAAGGCAGAGGCCCAAGATAAGGTAGGAGTAGGAACAGTGGTGAGCATGAGCATCAAACAGCCAGTAAATTGCTGCTGCTGGCAGGGCCGGCTCTGGCGTTTTTGCCTCCCCAAGCGGCGAAAAAAAAAGCAAGAAAAAGCCGCAATCGGCACTTCTACCGCCGCCGCTTCGGCGGCAATTTGGCAGCAGGTCCTTCCCTCCGAGGGGGACTGAGGGACCTGCAGCCAATCAGGCAGCCTGCAACAGGCCAGCTGTACTGATGAGGCTGCCTGAAGATTAGCTCTGCTGTAGGCCCAGATTCCCTGACAGGAACTCTTTTCCTCTTCGCATTTATCTTCGCTAAAAGTTCATATCACGTGGACTTGGGATGCCTGAAGAGGATGTTGTTGAAATGACAGGGGATCGGATTGTTTGCTGTTCTACAGTGAATATACACAGGCCGAATTCTCAACTAGGTGATGACTAAACCATTTTCTGTTTGCCACAGATCGGTGCCATGAAGGGGGTCAGTCCTATAAGATTGGCGATACCTGGCGTAGACCACACGAGACGGGTGGCTACATGTTAGAGTGTGTGTGTCTGGGCAACGGGAAAGGGGAATGGACCTGCAAACCTCTAGGTATGTAGTGGTTTTGGCATATTTCTTTGAGAGAGCAGGCTTCAGAAGTATTTAACAGATGTCATTAAAGAATCCCATATTAAAGCAAAGGATGCTAATTTGAACTGATTCAGGCCTTCAGCCTGCTCTAACTTAGCCTGGTGCAGTGACAGTGTCTAGAACTCTTTGTTTTCTGGCAGCCTCCTCCGATCTACCAATATGGGAAGGCAAAGGGGGTCATGACCCCCTGACACCTGTTTGTGACTCCCAAGGGGTTGCCATCCCCAGGATGAGAACCCCTGGCTTTTAGAAATATTTAAAACAAACGAGAAAACCCTGTCTTCCTCCATTCCCACAGCTGAGAGATGCTACGATAACACTGCCGGGACATCCTATGTTGTTGGAGAGACCTGGGAGAAGCCCTACCAAGGCTGGATGATGGTGGACTGCACTTGCTTAGGCGAAGGCAATGGACATATCACCTGTACCTCCAGGAGTACGTATCGATTTCTCTTGCCAACGTACTAACGCTACGCAGAATGACAGGTGCACTTCATTCTGCTGAAGCTCAGGTTCTAAAATGATGCCTTTTCTTATCCTTTCTTTGGGGCCCAGAATGCACAAGCTAAGACACTTAAAGTAAGACAAAGAAAAAGGAAGACACCTTCAAGTGTGTGGTGTGCTTGATATTACATAGAGAAGTAGGTGGTGTATTGGATTTCACCAAAACAAATTGTATGGGGTGACCAGATCAAACTGTAACATAAGAATGGGTCACAAGCAAAAATTTGCCAATGGCATTTGCCATATCCTGTTCTGGAATCCCATACACCCTTGTGGATACATTGTGGAGTTAGCTTTCTGTGCAGGTGATAAGTGGTTATGATGTTGGGTCCATGCTGTGCTTTATACAGCCATTTTTGGGGAAATATTCCTCTAGGCTAAATGGCTCTAGTGGGTCAAATTATGCACTGATTTACACTCCACATATCCCGCAGGAAGTCCCTGGAATTGTGCCGAGTTACAGACCTTACACAGTTTGGCCTAGAATTGCCCCTGTGGAGAGAGAAGGTGCTTTTAAAGGGAAATTGTCCCCTGGTTTATCTTTCTTGAGATTCTGGTATTATTAACAAATCCAAAAATTCCTGCAGAGCTCTAAAAATGCAGGGTTTGTCGTTTTTTAACATCATCTAGTCCATCCGAAAGCCAAACCAACGATTGTTTAGTCTAATGCTTTGTCTACACTGAGGATTTTGGTAATAGTGTGAACCTTTAGCGTAACTACACCGCTACCTCGATATAACGCGACCCGATATAACACGAATTCGGATATAACGCGGTAAAGCAGTGCTCCGGGAGGGTGGGGCTGCGCACTCCGCGTTATATTGAAGTTGCTCTGATCCACCGGTTTCACCTATAACACGGTAAGATTTTTTGGCTTCCGAGGACACTGTTATAACCAGGCAGAGGTGTACTTTGCAATTGTGCAAAGATCTTTTAACACCAGCACATCACTTTTCCACTCCAACTTTGTACCAGTGCAACTACATTGTTGCAAAATATCCCACTGGATTGGCCTATAAAATGTAGATGGGGCCTTTACAAGTTACCTCTGCTTATTACCTTCTCTTCTAGTATCCCTGTACTATAAAACAAGCTCCATTGTGGAGCCATGACAGTTTTTACCAGCTGTACATCTGCCCCAAGGTAATTTGACCTGGTCTCTTGTACCTTTGTTATGCGGGTTTTGAGATCTTTCTTGGTAGCCTTTAAATGGCCTCATGCCCAGTTGCCTTGAGATATAAAGCTAATAGCTTTTTGCTAATATAAACAATAGAAAGGTAAAGAACTAAAACTCAGAGGTTTGGGATTAAAGTCAAAGTTCGTGGAGAGAGGTAGTCAAGAAATAAGCTATGAAACAAAACCAGCCTTGACCATTTCAACTCTGTTTGAAAACACATGGGGGGGGAAATAATTAACTGTCAAATGGGAAAGGACAAAGCAGAAAGAGAACATGTTATGTGCAAGCTTCGAAGTTACTATAATCAATAAAAACAATTAGGCAGTGTCTTTCATCTCACAGTTCTGGAGTCTATTGTTGGACCTTATAGCAAATTGCAACCTATTCATTTTTTCCCCCAATAATGGGTTTTGCTTCCAAAATGTAATCACATAGATAAATACATTGTCTAAGTATAAAATGATAGTTGTGGCCCACGTGGTAGTGTAAGTACTGATGTGTGGATAAAATACAAGTATTATGGCCAAGATTTTCCAAAGTAACTAGTGATTTGGGTGCCTACATTCTTGTGTGCCCATCCTGAGACACCTGATCTTCTGAGGGCAAATGTCCACATTTTCATATACACCTCTACCTCGATATAACACTGTCCTCTGGAGCCAAAAAATCTTACCGCATTATAGGTGAAACCGCGTTATATTGAACTTGCTTTGATCCACCGGAGTGCGCAGCCCCGCCCCCCTGGAGCACTGCTTTATCGCATTATATCCGAATTCGTGTTCTATCGGATCGCGTTATATTGGGGTAGAGGTGTACATATAAATACATTATCAGCCCTGTAGCCACTTACCACTTTCTTGGTATAAACACAGCCCTGTGTCATTTTATCTACTGTGGTTTGTTAATGTGTTTGCCACATGTTAGTTTTTGACCCAATGTACCCTAGCTCAATGGCAATCTGAAGTGATGCGTACCTCATTCCACAGTTGTTCATAGAGTAGATGAAAGCGTTTTTGACCCATGATTAAATGTGAGTCATTGTATCGAGTTGCCGTTGCATGTGAGGGTAAAATGCTGTAATGGAAGTAGAATGAGTTAATCCATGTGGCTCTGCGTGCAGCTAGAAGTAGTTTATTATGCTATCACTTGAACCTATTTGCTCAATTCATCACGGGTGGTAGATTATTTAGACAGGATTCATATTGCATATTTCTGGGTGAAGAATTTGACCCAAAGATATTGCCTGTCAAACAGGATTTAGTTCCTTTCATGTGAAATAGGCCCATGAGGTTCAACTGGGCCCTGTCTACAGCATGCAATGACCATGCTAAGAAACTGTTTAGAATTAAACAACATTAAAACGGGTTTCAGCTTAGCAGGGTTTTCCCCACAATATGGTCAAGGAACAAGGTGCTTAAAATGGTTTTGAAAACTATTAGCAAGAGTGGGCCGTAACCCAGGAGTCGGTTTCACATTCTGCCTTGTCCCCACTGGGAGCAAAAAGGTGCTATCCGAAAGAATGTTTAAAATCACTGGGTGAAATCCTTTACCATTGAAATCAATGGGAGTTTTGCCATTGACTTCCATGGGACCAGGATTTCATCCAATGTTTTAGAATGGCTTCCCAGCATGTTCCTTTCTGCAATAAATTAAATTTAAATTAAATTAATGGAGATATACCATCTCCTAGAACTGGAAGGGACCTTGAAAGGTCATCGAGTCCAGCCCCCTGCCTTCACTAGCAGGACCAAGTACTGATTTTGCCCCAGATCCCTAAGTGGCCCCCTCAAGGATTGAACTCACAACCCTGGGTTTAGCAGGCCAATGCTCAAACCGGCTTGAAAGCATATGGCTACCTTGGTAGGGGTGATGGAGCTTGGTAGTGGAAGACGAACTGTACTGTGGAAGATTAATCATGGCATATCAACAAAGGACCCAGTATCTTTCCTTTTGTGATGGGCATGCTGCTAAATATAGGAAAAACTAAGCCTTGCTTCCTTTGTTATAAATGTTTCCTTTCCTCTGCAGATAGGTGCAATGATCAGGATACCAAGACTTCATACAGAATTGGAGATACCTGGAGCAAGAAGGATAACCGAGGAAACCTGCTTCAGTGCATCTGCACTGGTAACGGCAGAGGCGAGTGGAAATGTGAAAGGCATTCATCTGTGCAAACTCCTGGCATTGGTAAGTGGTAAATCTTATTGGTAAGTGGGGGCATTGAACAGTACAAGTCACACACAAAAGATTTTGTGCTGAATCACACACCACTGATTTAGGAAAAATCTTGTCAAAGTTAACAAGAGTTTTGCAAGAGGAAGATGTGCAATATTTAAGGTCAAAATTTGACAGGAGACTAAACATTATCATCTTTTGTGCATGTCAAATGACCAAATTCATTTACACACAGTTGGCATGCACAAAAGAGGTTTGCACATGCAGATTAGAACATGTGCATGTTCAAAGGTGCCAAAAAAATAGCATGCACCGATTTATGGACCTATAAATATAGGCTATATCTTGAAAATGTGGCACTTTGGGTTAATATTTTTGAAATAGAATATCAGGGTTGGAAGGGACCTCAGGAGGTCATCTAGTCCAACCCCCTGCTCAAAGCTGGACTAATCCCCAACTAAAATCCCCAAATGGCCTCCTCAAGGATTGCACTCACAACCCTGGGTTTAGCAGGCTAATGCTCAAACCACTGAGCTATAGGCATTCTACAGGGTGCCTTACTTTAAATGTCCTGAATTTAAACTTGAATATCTTGTAGATGTCAGAAGTTAAACTATTCTTCTGGCAAGATAAACACATCCACTTATGCTCAAGCTTTAATATGTAGAAATGTCAACAAGGCACTTGTGTATTAAATTGTATTTTGTATATCAGATCCTTTGTGATTTTTGGTATGGTGTTTATTTAGTTTCCTGGTATACACTGTCCTCTGTCCTAGGTTTATAGCAACATATTCAGCTTCTGAAGCCCTTCTTAATGTAGGTTCTTTGTCCTTTTAATGACCTAGTTCTGCTTTTAATGTGTAAATCTAGCTTTTCCCCTGGGGTGGGTATACTAGGTTTTGTGTTAATAATTTCATACTCTTGCTATCACCAGTTCCACTCCGTGGTGGGAATGCTGGTATAGACAGACTCCGGGAAACCTCTAGCACTTAAAGCAGAGCTCTGAGCAGGTCTAAACCATACTGTGCTTTTAAAACTCCAATGGTTGTCAAAGCCTTGCCTATACTTTTGCTCCCATATTGGCTGTTGCAGGTGGAGCTAAACTGGTGGTAGGAAAAGTGGGAAATTTTTAGCAGAAGTTTCCAAGTGCAGAAGAGGCCTCTGAGTCTCTTTCCATCTTACTCTTAACTAAAGCTGGTTGAAAATTTTCCTTTGAGAATATTTTTTGTTGGAAAACGGCGTTTTCCCAAAATAGACGTTTCATGAAAAAACTGGTTTCTTTTGAGATTTTTCAGTTTTTTGGTGGAAAAACTGGGGGGAAAAGACCAAACCACCCAGTTTTTCAGTTTGGGGTTTTTTCCTCCTCCTTTCCTTTCCTTCATTGGTTTCAATTTTTTATTTCAGTTTGTCGTCCAGAACAGCAAAACATGTTCATAGGAAACTTTAAAAAAATCTTACAATTTTGGGGTTCCCCCCCAAAAAATTTCCTGTGAAAAACTGGCATTTTTTGACCTGCTCTAGTCACAGTTGTTGGCTGTGCAGTTGCTCTTGTTGGAGAGGATTATTAGCGTGGCTAGAGAGAGTTTTTTTTTTTTTTTACTGTTGAAATTTACGAATTGAAGTGCAAACAAATGTTATGAAAATGGAAAGCGATTAATAAAAAGATCTGCAGATAATTATGCCTAAGAAAGTTAAATGTTAACATCATAGCACTTAACCTAGATTTTCTGTTCCTTGTTTTTGGATTTAAAGCCTGCTGCTTATTCCCTCCTTTCTAACACTGTCTGCCTTAGGATCTGGATCCTCAACCTTCACAGATGTACGAACTGCACTTTACCAGCCTCAGCCCCAGCCTCAGCCGTACGGTCACTGTGTTACTGACAGTGGGGTGGTGTACTCTGTTGGGATGCAGTGGCTCAAGACACAGGGCAGCCAACAGATGCTTTGTACTTGCCTGGGCAATGGTGTCAGCTGCCAGGAGACAGGTATGAGCTTTTCTTTTAATGCTCACACCTAGACAAATCGAGGCCCCAGTGCAGCAAAGCGTTGAGCAAGTGCGTCGCTTTAGCTATGTGAGTAGTCCCATGGAAGTCAGTGTTTCAGTGCTTTGCGGGATTGGGACCAACATGCAAAAGGATCTTAACTACATAATTGTCTTTAGTGCAGCCTCTGAACTAAGATCCTGATACAAAGCCCACTGAAGTTCTTGGAAAGAGTCGCACTGACTTCAGTGCATCAGGCACTAAGAGAATTTCAGCTGTTGTTTTCACTTGTAGTGAAGCCCAGTTTCTAAAGACATAAGGACGCACTCTCCTAGGTCAACACTCATAACGTGTCTGAATTTTCATGGCTCCTATGTGCATGGAGGGGAGAGAAAACCCCCTGGGGGGTTTTGTCCCTCACTAGAAAGTAGGATCCTGGGGAATGTATAAGAAGGGTGCTCTGAAGAGCCTGCAAAATGAGGAACAGCAAGGGGCTTGGAGAAGGGAAAGGAAAGAATCAGAATTTCTTCCTGGTTTTGATTATTTGGGGCCTGGTTCTATAGGACAGCAGTAACTCCCATTTTATTATATACCTACGGCAGTGGGAGAATAAAGCCATGGGATGCAGAATTAGCAACTTTATTCAAACTAAGTTGCAGCAGTATGTTTTTTGGGGAGGATGTAGGTTGAATGATGATGTTACAGGGCTAGATCCTCAGCTGGTATAAAATTGGCCTGGGACAATTGAAGTCAGTGCCATTTATACCAGCTGAGGGTCTGGTCCAGAGAAGCTAGAGTTACTTTAGGGCACAAAGAACTGGAGTGGGGACACTGAGCCGTGATGTAATGTTGTGCTTTGCTTGGTTTAAAGCTGTGACCCAAACCTATGGTGGCAATTCTAATGGGGAACCATGTGTTCTGCCATTCACCTATGGTGGGAGGACTTTCTATTCTTGCACCACGGAAGGTCGTTCGGATGGACACTTCTGGTGCAGCACAACCTCCAACTTCGAACAGGACAACAGATACTCCTTTTGTACTGAACAAAATGGTAAGCTTGTCTAGATAAATGTATTGGGAAAAATAGGTTGAATTTCTAGTATCTGGGTATGGTGAATATAAATACTGTCTGGGCCAGATTTAGCTGGTCTAAATGGACACAGCTCCACTGAAGCTGCTGATTTGCACCATCTGAAGATAAGATGAAAATGATAGAGCGTGAATAGTTCTTGTGAACATGTTCCCCATCTTCCCTCCATCTTGCAAACATTAAACTCCCAACCCTGGGATGTGGAGAAGGTGTCAATTACCCTGGTGAAGTAGCCAGGGAAAAGGAGGAAATGAGGGGACTACATGTCTATCCTTTTGCCCTTGAGGGTTTTCTTTAACTAGCTAGCGAGGGCCTCCTCCTGTAGTGTTGTAGGGGAAAGGGCCCAGATCAGCATTTTTATTTAAGAAAATCTGTGTTCTATTGCTCTCCCAACTTGACCTTAAAAATGAAGCTGTTAACCAGAGTATAGCTCACGGTCTTTGATCCAAGGGACCTTGAGACCTCTCTTGGCTGGTTGAATTTCAACCAGTCAGACAAGAGCCCTGGCCCATATTAGGCCATGAGGGTAGGACACTGCCCGGAGTCTCATCTGTGCAATCCTCTGATGTCACTTCCTCAATCCTGACTCTCCAGTCAGATTGCCTTATATAGCAGCAATCCTAATCTGCCACTGGGAAGGGGTGCTGTGGCATGACTAATGCAACATTCTACATCAGCTGGGGGTGGGGAGGGAAGGGCAATGTTCTGGAAGCCCATGGACCTTCCATAAGACAGCAGCCAGACAGGGGAATTTCTGCTGGATCTGACCCTAAGTGAAGCGTGGCTGAAGTTATTCATGTATTGGTAGATTTAGTAAAGTGGTAAAATACTACTTCTCAGATCTGTCGTTTTTGAGTAGTGTTTCACTCGCATGGGTTTGGTTTTTTTTAATATCTTCTGGTTCCTTCAGATGAAACTCTACATCCCTTTCCATCATGTCACATTTGTTCTATTTTAAGAGAATTTGTGGAATTCAGCTGCTCTGGATTGCATTGGTGATAGGTGCCTAAGAGTTCCCTTTTGCTCCACTATGGGCTGGGGAAATCTCAATATAGGAGGATGCAAGCAAAGGCTTCATTCTTCCTGGCTATTGTACATCATTGAGTTGCAACTGTTTCCTAAGGGCTGAGGTTTTATTTAAAGTCCTTGGTCACAGCCCAGCTCTCAGTTAATTCCACCCAGCCCCATTGACTTCCATGGTGTTGTACAGATGTCATATAACGGAGATCAGAATAGCAGCCATGTTAGTCTGTATCCGCAAAAAGAACAGGAGTACTTGTGGCACCTTAGAGACTAACAAATTTATTTGAGTATAAACTTTCGTGGGCTAGAAGTGGGCTGTAGCCCACGAAAGCTTATGCTCAAATAAATTTGTTAGTCTCTAAGGTGCCACAAGTACTCTTGTTCTCATATAACGGAGAGAATATTTGACTCATTGGACCAGCTCCCTCATCCTACTCATGTTTGTTCCTGATGACTCTGTTGGTGCAAAGAAACTCTAAAGCAGACCTCAGATGATCCTCTCTGCCAGGGGAATCTGTGCGCATTGTGGAGCTGCTGTTACGATTCCAATGCCGATGCCTTCTCTGGCACAGCGGGCCTATGTCGGATTTCCCTACTCCTCTATGATTCCCGTGGCCAGGCCCACTCTTTCCACATCTGAGCATGGGGGATGGTGGGTGTTTTCGGGTTTTGCAAATTCCTTGAATGTGGACCAACTTTTCACAAGGTTTACATTTACATGATTAAATTAGTCTCCGTCAGAAAAGAGGGTTAAGGGTACTCTGGTAAGGGGGCACATGCAAACTGAGGGTCCGTGCTATGTTCTGAAACAACTCCTGGATCCTCTGAGGAAAATGCCGGCTCAGATACATCTTTCTTTTACTCCTCCTGCTTTCTGTAGTTCTGGTCCAAACCCGGGGTGGCAACTCCAATGGTGCCTTGTGCCACTTCCCCTTCCTGTATAACAACCACAATTACACTGATTGTACTTCTGAGGGACGGAAAGACAACATGAAGTGGTGCGGAACCACCCAGAACTACGATGCTGAACAGAAGTTTGGCTTCTGCCCTATGGCTGGTAAGTTGTGGATGGTGGTGCTGGGTGGGAAGATCTCTGGCTGGTCTCTGTTCAAGACCAGTCATTGAGGTTTCTGTTTAAGACCAGTGGTTCTCAGACTGTCGCCCATGAAATGCAATTGGGATGTGGAGCCCTTCCAGGTGTCCACTGAGCTGCGTCCATCACTGTGGTGAACTTTCAGTCATTAGTGGCTTCCAGGTAGCTGTAGTCCAATTCAAGTTTCTTCTAGGGCTTTTAAAGGGGTTTTTTGACCAGTGACTTTGGTATTACAAATAGAAAGAAATTTACTCCTCCCATTTGCTGCAGAGAATTCTGGGCCAGATCCTCAGCCGGTGTAAATTGGCATAGCTTCATTGACGTCAGTGGCACTACAGAGGTTTACACTAGCAGAGGGTCTGGCCTTATATCTGTGGAAGCCTTCTTCCTCGCTACTCATCCTTTCCTCTTGCTGTACCTTGCCGTTACGGATGACCCTGTGCTTCTAACATCAGTCTGTTACCGTGGCAATTATGCAGGTCTCAGTTTATTCCAGTCTCAGTGATGTCAAAAGGAGTTGTGTGTGTTTAGATCTAAGGCAACGGAGAGCACTAGCACTTCCTGCAAGATCAGAACACAAGGCAGCTATGGGAACCCATTTTAAACAGCAAACCTTTTATAACTCAGTAGCTCCCATGCTACATTTGCTCGCGTACATACAATTTAGTATGGAGCAAAGAGAACTTTACACTTATAGCAGTGCCTTTTATGTGAGGATCTCAATATCTTAACAGACATTAACTGAACCCCACCGCACCCCTGTGACGTAGGTGACAGATACAAGGATCATTCCACCCGCCACTGAAATGCAGCCACCTCTGGGATGGAACCCAGCACATGTTAAACAGAGCACAGGAATGAGATGTGACACTTTAAGACATGAAGTGGCAAAAAAGAATACCACATCTAATTGAAAATGTGAAGGCAATTTTATGTCGGCAATTTTATGTCCAACCTGTGTTGGAATTTGGCCAGGACATAAAATCCTTTAGAAAAGGTAATTTAGGTGAAAGTATAGGGACTAGGTCCTCGGCTGATGTATGTTGCCATACCTCCAAAGACTTCAACACAGCTACAGCAGCTGAGGGTCTGGCCCATGATTTTCCTTTGGACGGTGATGAACGTATATTTTGGTAGGAGGCTTGTAACAACAGACATCTTCCTCCACTCCTGTCTACCAAAAAGTAAAGTGACAATTAGGTGATAGTTTCCTCTTTCTTGTGGTCCTTTAAAGGCAACATGGCTGGGTCTTCACTCCCTTTGTGCCTTGCATAGATATTTACATCTGTGTAAAGTGAGTGGCCAGCAGTGGTGGGTTTTACACCCACTTTGCACAGCCATCCATAACTACACAGTCTCTGTAGTTAGAGCCTAACAGGTTTGGAGGTAGGAAGACCTGATTTAGAGTGAATAAACGAATGTCAGGGACTTGCATTTAGAGAACATCAGCACCTAGTGAAAGTGGGATTTGGAAACCTAGTGAGGTCATAAACCCCCCACATTAGAGTATGGAGCCCGTAGCACTGTGGGAATGTGTATAGCAGGTTATATGAATGTTTGTGCTCATTGTAACTCTAACTAAATAAAACCCCTCACACTTCTTGAACAGCCCATGAGGAAATCTGCACAACCAATGAAGGTGTCATGTACCGTGTTGGAGACCAGTGGGACAAACAGCACGACATGGGCCATATGATGAGATGCACTTGCGCCGGAAATGGCCGTGGCGAATGGACCTGCATTGCATACTCCCAGCTTAGAGGTATGTGTCTTAATTTATGCACCAAAGGCCTGATCCAACTCTCGTTGAAGTCAAAGGGATTCTTTCCACTGACTTCATTGGGAATTAGAGCAGCCCCCCAACACGATTCTACTTCAACAGGTCTCACTTGTGGAGGCCAGGAGGGATATTTGTACAAAGATCCAGATATTGTTTACATTCAGGAATAGTGCCAATTCAGCACTCACTAAACCTCAATTCTCTTGATCAACGCACATCCCTGCGGTCTCTTGCTTATATTTAAGGGTCCGCACCATTGCAGCTACTCTGGTTGCTGAATTGAGGCTATTCTCCTGTGTAAAGCCCCAGGCTAGTCTGAAGCTTGAAGGCAGGGTTAAAGGGCAGTGCAGTCTTATTTTGCTATTTTGCAGTGAGGTTTTTAATTCCTCTGTGTAGGATGAATTACCTTTGCAGGCTAATCTGTATGAAAAGTTGGCAGGACAGTACTGAGATTTCTTTTAAGCAGCCCAAGTGGGGAAGTGCTTAGACAGCACCAAAAAAGAGGACTTCAAAGGGGCGAGCGTAGACATTTGATCATCCTAAAGCTGCTTACAGCGTTGGATTCATGTCTGGAAAAAGCAGAGGGTGCTGTCAGAGAGCCAAGGAAGGACGCGAACACCGCTGCTGAAATGGGATATAATTTATGCGGAAAGGCTCTCTCAAGGGCTTTGAGGTTTTCCATGCGTCTTGTGCAGAACGGTGAGAGATGCACAGCTGAAGGACCTGCTGTTCAGTAAAACTCCCTTCTAACTCTGCCTAACTGGCCAGCGCTCGGCATTGTGATCTCTGAAGGATGGGTCTTGCGGGGAAATGGAGGGAGAGTGAAAGGAAACTGTCAGGTTAAAGCAACTTCTGCTGAAAAGAGCGAAGTAACCTAGTCAGGGAAATAATTTTTTTTTTTTAAAAGGGTGTGGGTTCTCTCAACCCCCCTGATAGATCACAGCTGTCGGGAAACCTCTGTGGGCCTTCTTGTAATATCTCAGCATTTACAAAGCACCAGGAGATTTAGTCTCACAACACACCCGTGAGGCAGGGAAGTACTAGCCTCGTTTTACAGATGGGTAACAGGGGCAGCGCAGATTAAATGACTTTCCCAAGGGGAGGAAGGCTGTGGCGGACCCAGAATCGAACACAGGTCTTTAGAGGCTGATTCCATGCCCTGTCCACTAGCAGTGCAGCTAAATCCTGCCACAAATAACAGGCCATATTTATGATGGTTGATTGCTTCACAAAGCAACTCGCTTCTACAGGGGTTTTCAGGTTTGCTTGTTTTCTTAAACTAGCTGTTATTGACCAGATTGCTTTAAGGATAAAGGATTAGGGCCAAGTCCTCAAATGATTTAGTTGGGGATTGGCGCTGCTTTGAGCAGGGGGTTGGACTAGATGACCTCCTGAGGTCCCTTCCAACCCTGACATTCTATGATTCTATGAAATGGTATAAATTGCCATCGCTCTGTTGATTGGGGGATCTGGCCCTGCATCGTGCATCAGTGGGTACGAGGAATAACTTGGGCGTATAATGCATCAGTTCTTCTCTTGGGGTTACAACAAAGTGTTGTCAATTACCAAGCAAAATAAAGTGCGGAGAACATTTGGGGCTGCATTGTGATACCTTTGCTCACACCGAGTAGTATTTTACTTCCACTGAAATCAGTGAGGAGTAAAGTGCTGCTCAGCACGGGTAAGAATATCACAATCTAGCCCTTTATACGCAAACCCAGTGATTTTTTTAATATGTCATTTTAGTTGCTGTTTCACTGCTATACTCAACATGCCATGGGAACCCGATTTAAATAAGGCTAAATACTTTGGGCCTGGATCCTGCAAACCTCCTTCCTACAAGCTTCCCATAATCACACAGATAGTCCCATTAACATCAATGCTGACAAGTGGACACAGGGGATCATAGTTTATAATCCTATCCTGGGAAGATCACACTTATCTCTGACAGATACTTGCAATCCTGTCTCTCTTTTCTATAGCTTTTCATGGCAATAAGTCTCATTGCACTGATGGGGAAGGGGTAGAATATGTTCAGCGGAAGAAATATTCCGTTGCTTTTTTTATTTAAAGCAATCATTGAGGGAAGTATCATGTTCTCTCTCAATCAGACCAGTGTATCGTTGATGACATCACCTATGATGTTAACCAGACATTCCACAAGCGTCATGAAGAAGGACACATGCTGAACTGCACATGCTTTGGCCAGGGTCGTGGGAGATGGAAATGTGATCCTGTCGGTAGGTTAATTCCCAGCTGCTCCCGCTTGTTGTAGCTACGCAATAACAAGGAAATGTGTGATAGGGCGGATGGGTGAATTTGGGCCAGATCTTTGGACAGAATCTGCCCTCGATCACACTAGGAGAAAACTGGAGTGACTGTGACTTCAGAGGAGTTGCAGCGCAGTGAGTGAGAGCAGAATTTGATTTAACTCAGCCTATCTGACATGTAGTGGGAGAAGCTGATAATATCTGCAATAACCCTAGGTAGTGGCAACTTTACTCCTTACTGATTCCTCCCTTGGAGTATTCCTACGCTATAACACACTCTAGCTTCAGTAGCTGCCAATGTTATGGGGTAACTGGTCATTTTAGCTACTCATTGGATGGAACTCTGACAAATAAGGCATTCAGCGGGAACCTCAGATTTCATGCAATCAGCTGTTGTGTGGAGCAAGCCAGTAATGCTAAACTCTACCTTGTAAATTGTTCTTTTTCCTCTGCTTTGCGGAAATCTTCTGGTCTCTTGACTGAACTGAAAAGCATGGAAGATTGCACCAGCAAATATTATCTTACCATGGACTAAACTTATTTTATTTGGCTGCTTATTATACTGGGCAGCCAAACAAAAAGAGAGCAGGCCAATGCTAAGAGTGCACGTGTTAATAGCACGCCAGAGTTTAGCTAAAACCATCGTAGTTCTGTACTTTTCTGACCAAAAAAACGAACTCTGATCTGATGATAAGACTTAGTTGTTTGATCTGCGATTACCAACCCCAAGAGAACTTTAATATGTTTTCTTTGGCAACAGTTCAGAAAGGACTAGTGGTTAAATTCTGCTTTATTTATTGTATGTCTGCCTGGATTTACTGGAGAGCAGATCATAAAGTTCTTGAAAATTGCTCCTTTGAAAGAAGGAAAGAAATTTGTTTTAAAATGAGTTGGAAAATATCATTAAAGGTGCTGTCTGTTGAATTTTGTCATTGATTTCTCCAAACCTAGTCCCTATTCTTTCAAATTCTGAATGCTCATTGCAGTCCATCAGTAAGACTTCTACTGAGCCGGTTTCAGATGTGAGTTACACTCACCTATGTCTGGAATCAGTGTGTTGAAGCGAATGGTGTTACTATAGAGTTTACACCTGAGTTTTGCCGTTGACTTCATGGGAACAAGACTGAGCTTTAAATGAGAGAAGAACAGGTGCAGTGGCTGAAGCAGAACCAGGCTCCGAAATAATAGCTGTTGGCCAGCTCCTTGTGGAAGAGAAACTCCCATTGACTTTAGGGGGAGGAAGGACTGCAGGATCAGAGCCTTTCCTTGGAGTGTTGTCATTGTCCAAAACATACCACAGCTGAATTAACACCCAAACATCTGACTTGCCATTGCAGTAGTAAATCTAGGGTCTGGATGAGTTTCCATGTACCCTAGTTTTGAAGTTAGACTTCTATTGCCCCTTTGAGTAAGGCTTGCAGTAACACTGTTTGCAGTGTGTTTTCCCTCTTCATCATTCTCCTGTGTGTTGACCCAACGTTTTGGTTTTTTGTTCATTTAAGTCAACATTTGACACTTACCTGTACCTGTTTCATGCCTTCAGACCAGTGCCAGGATTCGGAATCCCGGACCTTTTATCAAATTGGGGATTCGTGGGAGAAGTATGTTCATGGTGTTAGATACCAGTGCTATTGCTACGGCCGGGGTATTGGAGAGTGGCATTGTCAGCCTCTGCAGACCTATCCAGGTAAGAATCCTAACGATTAAACACATTCTCCTGACTAGCTCTGGTTTAGTGTGATAGGATGGGGTTGGCTGCATGAGCGGAGCCCAGGGTAAACACCCAGCCTGCTTCCTCCGCTGATCTTAGCAATCTGCATGTCCTTTCGTATCCTTGTCAACGTCAAATAAGGTTAGGTGGTTTTCCCTACATACAACGAGCAAGTAAGGGTTTGAATTCTCTAGGTTCCTTTGCCTGTGGATGGTTTGCAATTGTTCAGCTCCCAACATGGTAGGAAATTCCTGTTGGTTTTCTTTTAGAGCAGAACCGTTTCCACCTGAAGGCGGACACAAGAAAGTGTCAAGCTTACAAGTGGAGGGCCAGAGACTGATCACAATGAAAATCTGGAGTCATTCATTTGGCTTCACTGGGGTTACACTAGATTCACACTAGAATCTGACCCATTGTGGTTTTATTTCCACTCTGGTGTTTCACTGACATTATAGCTCTGCAATCTATCTACTATCTATATATTGCTTGAGGCTATTATACCATGTATGGCCAGACCTTTCTTACCCAACCCACCTGCTGAAGCAAAATGCACCATGGCAGGTGCCCCGAACAAAACTTTTGAACTTTCCTTTGCCCAATCAATTCTAGGAAATATTCAGAGGCAGGTCAATGTCTCTGTTTGCTGGTTTGTTCTTTTGTAGTTCCATGAACATAACGTGATAAGAGCAGCCGTTGCACCAACTTTTCTGTTTAAAGGTTGCTTCTCCCACTGGGCCTTAGTTTAAATATTAAAACTTTACAGTCAAACACTCTGACTAAGGGATTTATAGAAAACCAGTTCCACTCTCTATGTATTGTTTGGTTCACTGGCCCAGATCTTGCTTCCACGTTGGCATAAATATTGAGTAGCTCCATTAAAATGGACAGAGTAATTTTAGTGCATAACTTCTTCTACATCAACAAGATGCTTCCCATTTTGATTATTGGCAGAAAAATTGCTAATAAAGCAAGACTCAGAAAAGGTAAGTACTCAGTTAACAACCATTGGACCACTTTGATATTTTATGGACCTGTGTACTTACTGTCTTATCACGCAAATTTCTCTGAGCAAAACAGCATGCTCTAATAACAAAAGTATGTTGCAGTGAAGATGTAACTGTGCATGAGTGGTGTTTTTAGTTTATATAAATGGAATCCTTGTGAACACACAGATAAAGCAAAACAATAGGCTTGTGATTTACATCCATCCATTGTCTTGAGGAGAATAAAATGATCTGTGAGTAGTTGGCAAGTTAGTACTCATAAGTAGAGCTGGTCAGGATTTTTTTTTTTTTTCATGAAATGTTTTTCCATCAGAAAATGCCGATTCATCCAAACTGAAGTTTTTCAAGAGGACTGTTAGCTTCTGACAAATTTTTCACTTCAAAAATTTGGGGGGCGGGAAATAAACCACTTAAAATTGTTGGCATTTGACATTTTTGGAATGAAAAATTCCAGGTTTCTAGTTTGAAATCAGGTTTTGGTTTGAAATGTAAGCTAATTATAGTAAACAAAACAACCCAAGACATTTTTAAAATTAAGTATTGAAATGATCAAAGCACCATGTTTTGACTGACAGAAACGGAAATATTTTGTAGCTCGTGAACATAGCTGAGATTTTTGAATTTTCATCCCAACTGGGGATGTGGGGAAGAGGTCATCACCTGCCTTTCAGCCCACTTATTCCAGCCCCCTGGTGAATCAGTGGTCCTGCACGGCCTGCTCATTCTCCACCCAGTTACATGAAAGGGGCGTGACAACCCAGCAGCAGCTTTGGCCCCACTTCTCCAGGCTCTGGCCAAAGTGGGTTCTTTAGATCCACTTGCATCTTGTATGGCCCCCATTACCCTAGAACCTGAGCACCTCACAATCTTTAATGATTTATCCTCATGGCAACCCTGTGAGGTAGGAAAGGATGTGAGGCTCATCCTCAAGAGACTAAGAGTGCGTCTACAATACAACCCCCTCTCCCCCACAGCAGTGAGTCTCGGAGCTCCGGTCAGGGGACTTAGCGCGAGCCCCACAAGCCCATCTAGATGTTTGCCTCTGGGCTCTGAGAAACACACCCCATGCCCGGTTTCAGAACCCCGGCTCCACCCCAAACTTGGATGTCTACGTGGCTATTTTCAGCCCCGTAGCGGGAGACCCCTCTGCCTGAGTCAGTTGACCCAAGCTCCGAGACTCAGCGCTGCGTGGTGGTGGTGGTGGTGGTGGTTTTTTTTGCAGAGGTACCTGAAGTGATTTGCCCAAGGTCAAACAGGAAATATGTGGCACAGCAGGGGACTGAACCAATGTCTCCCAAATCCCAAACTAGTGCCCTAATCTGTGTGTCCTTGGCCAAATTACATAGTCTTTTTGGGTCAGATCAACAAAGTTATTTAAATTCCTAACGTCTGTTGATTTCAGTGGAAGATAGGAATCTAAATACCTTTGTGGGTCGGGGCCTTTGTACCTCAGGCCCTGCCCATCCTTCCTCTCTCTCTCTAGACACATAATCAGACTCACAACTGAACTCTATCTGAGAGACAAAACAGGAATTGGAGGGTAGAACTAAGGACTGCCAATGAAGGGAAGAATGGGACACAGCCCTCTGGATTTCTTTGCTGAGTTTCTTACTGAGCCTTATTGACTCCTCAGACTTCTAAAACAAACATCTCGCTGAGTTATGTGAAATATGCGCTCTGGAAACCAAGGCTTTGGATTTTCTTTAGACATGAGAGTGCCTGGAAATGTGCACATAAATCAAATATAAAGTTCCTGAATGTAGATTTGGGGTTAGACAGGCTTTGAAATATTCTCTGTGTGGGTATGGATTTGTTTGGCTGGAAGTCTTTTTAAGTATATGCAGGTATGTATGTTACACTGTTATCCAAACAAACTATAAAAGGAAACCTTTTTTAAAAAAAGGGGTGGGGCAGGGGGGATTTAATGGCTAAAATAACAGATCATCCCGCAGAGTCAGACGGCTCAATGCTGGATTCCCTGGGAACTTACACCCACTAGTGTAATACCAGATGAAGGTTTCCGCATTTATTTGAAAGCTTTTCACAGCGTAGTTCAGGGGAAGGGATGAGGAGTCGGAGAAGGGAGCATAAACAAGACAAAAAGGTGCTGTGAATTATGAGCTTGATCCAATACCCAGTGGAATTGTGGGTGCCTTTCCATTGGTCTCCAGTGGGCATTGGAGCAAGCCATTAGCATCTTTGGTCCTGATTCAACTAAGTACTTAAGCACATGCTTAAAGTCAGTGGGACATACACATGTGCTTCAGTGCTTTGCTGCATAGGGATGCACTTAAAATACATGCTTAAGTGCTTTTCTGAATCTGGTCTCTGAGTTTACAAAAGTGCTCTGTTGCAACTAAACCTCCAGGCTCTCGGTTGGCTTGTGGGCGTGTGTGTGCAAGTCATGCTTTTCCTCCACTCAGGTGCTTAAGGCAGTAAAATGCATAGTGTCTTTTAACTGATGATCTTCAATCATTAGCAGAAAAACTGCCTCTTCCTACAAGATGGAAGAATGTATCATTTGACTAAATGTAATGGAGATTGTTAGAGATCCCCCCCCCCCTCTTTTTTTTTTTTTTTGAAGCCTAAGGCTGGGGTCCTTATCCACACAATAGTATGATGATATGGGGCTAGTCCCGCTGAGAGATGGAGGCACGAGTGAAAGTAACTTACAAGACTTACCGGTACTGCCGGAGTCCTGAGGGGGGCGTGACCTCAACCGTAAGAGGCGGGGCCTCTCAAGATTTAAAGGCCCTGGGGCACCGGCTGTGGCTGGGAGCCCCAGGGCCTTTAAATCAACTTGGGGCTCCCAGCTGCAGAGGTGGCAAATTAAAGGGCCTGGGGCTCCGGCCGCCATGGAGCTCCGGGCCCTTTAAATCCCCACCGCAGCTCCGGCAGCCGGCGGGAGCTCCGGGCCCTTTAAATCCCGGCCCCAGCCCGGCTGCTGGAGCTGCGGGGGGGATTCAAAGGGCTCTGGGCTCCCTGCTGCGGCGGGGAGCTCTGAGCCCTTTAAATCCCGGCCCCAGCCTGGCTGCCGGAGCTGCGGGGGGGATTTAAAGGGCTCTGGGCTCCCAGCAGGGAGCCCAGAGCCCTTTAAATCCCCGCCGCGGAAGCCGGTGCGGTCCGGCATGGCGTACTGGCTCTTGCCGGTACACCATGCCGAACCGGACCGGCTTACTTCCTCTCTGGATGGAGGTGCTACTTCCTGAATAAGAGGTTCACAACCTATCCGTAAATATCTCCACAAAAATGTGGCTCTTTTATATGGAAATTTATTCTGCCCCTAGTTCTGCTTTCGTTCCAGTACGTGTAAGAGACTTCTGAACCTTTTGCTGGCGTTGGCCGTATTGTTGACCTTCTCTCCAGCTGGTCAGCATCTAAGATTCTCCAGCATTCTGAAGCACCCTGATTGTACAGTGTTGCCTTGTGCAGCTCTCAGGACATTGATCCTGCCTTGGGACAGACTCTGATTAGCTGTGGAGATCAATTTTAATTCTGGGCGAGCATTCCATGGACCCAGTCTAGCAAGGTGCCAGACATACCCAACTCCCGTTGGCTTAGGCATTGAGGAGCCTCAGCACCTTGCCAGAGGTTCTTAGCATGACACAGGATGAGGCTTTAAACTAGCAGAGTTCTTTTGCTTTTAAAAATTAACCCAAATTGCAGCGAATAGTAACTGATAAAACTTCATTTATAATAAGCACATGTTGAAAAAGTTCTTATTCCCCGTGCTCTGCCAAACGATCTGACTCTGTTTTGCAAGTTTCTTTCCATACCACTTATGACACAAGTCTTCCATCACAGACACAATTCTTCCATCATAAGTTTGTCCAGACAGCAAATGCTGATGCCTAGAGCAAGAGGAGATAGGTCTACCAGAGCATTTGCTATAACGAGTGGTGGAGCCTGGGGGATAGAGTGAAAAACTATTTCTTTCAAACCTTCATAATAATATTGGACAAGCAAATGCATTTTGATTAATAAATTTTGGATGCACTGAATAGCGAACTAGAGGGGAAAACTCCTTAATTAAGTTAAAATGGGGAACTTCCCTTTCAGGTGCCACTGGTCCTGTGCAAGTGATTATCACTGAGAGTGCAAGTCATCCCAACTCCCATCCTATCCAGTGGAATGCACCCGAATCCTCTCACATTTCCAAGTATATTCTCCGATGGAAACCGGTAAGTGCGTCCTTCAATCCTAATATAAATCATCCGTGTTTGTAGCTCCTGACATCCATGCAAGGCTCTCAAAAGCCAAAAGTCAAAACATTTTTGGTTTGGGGCTTTTAATTTTTTTCCCAATGAAAACCTGAAAAACGCTAACGAAAACAGAAATTTCCTGATAAAAATTCATGTTTTGTTAAAATAAAAAAAAAGGGCATTTTTTTGAGGGGTGGAGGGGAAAGATGACGTTTTCATCCAGCTCTAGTTGCTAATTCAGTGATCTTGCCCTACTGTAGAGGACACTTGCACTGAGGATTAAAAGTGACAGATATTATCTAAGCATGCACAGTGATCATGGATATTTGTGAATGAGCAGTACTGATCCATGTGCTTATGAATTTATGATTTCAATGGGGGTTAGGGGCCTAAATATCTTTGAGGATCTGGACCTACAGAGTTAGCAAATATGCTAGGAAATTAGGCAGGTGGAGATTATGTGTGGGATGAATAGTATAAATCTGTTAGTCTTTAAGGTGCCACCAGACTCCTTGTTGTTTTTGTAGATACAGACTAACATGGCTACCCCCTGATACTTGACATAAATCCTTATGAAAGTTTCCTTATTTGGAGGGAACGTTGGCTTTGTACCATGGACATATTACTGGAACAACTGGGATAGATTATATCACCTTAACGAGGAGGTAAAAATGAGCAGGATACAAAGATGTAAACAGCCGGCAGAAGATGAAATAAACATAAGTCGTTGCCTTTCTTCTGTAAAGTCGGAGCCAAAACTGCTGAGCCACAGCTTGCTGGCTTATTCATATTTAAGAATGATTCATTTTAACCAATGCAAATGAGTCGTCTGACAGTGCCCCAGACAACACTCGTTACAGATGTCTGCTCATCCATTAAACATGTCGGTGCATACCCACCGCTTGGCATTACGAGAACAATCAGGGCCTGGTCCAAAGCCCCTTGAAGTCAGTCGGAATCTTTCCACTGATTTCGATGGACTTTGGATCAGGTCCTTAATGAGATGGTCTTTAAACACCAGGGGGCCTGACCTTAGAAAGGTGGGGATTTAGTTTAGCATTTCCCGTAGAAATCAAGTGTGGGTCAGAGGGGAAGAATCTTGCTGAGGATTGTTTTCAGAGGGAAGCTCAAGTGTGTTACAATATTTGGAGATCATCCAGTATCTGCTGTAGAATTGCTGGCTGACTTTTCTAGCTTGTTGAACGATCGCTGGGTATATATTGCTGCTTAAACCTTTGCAAAGGAGAACCATTAAAACCTCAGGGCACACCCCTAATTTTAACAGGATTGTTACCCAGTATCCCATTATAAATTAACCACAGCGAAATGCCTCTGGAGGGCCGCCCTGCCCGCCCCTCCTCCTTCCAAGGACTTTTGTTCATCCTGATATGAGTCCTGCCACAGATATAGGCGTCCAGATGCCACAGTGATGGGCTGCCATATAAAAGCGTAATTCGAGATTTCTGCTCTTGGGCTTTGGGGATCTCTTTCATGGTATTGGATGTCTTTGTTCTTTTAGAAACACCAGAGAGTGCCGTGGAAAGAAGCCACCATCCCAGGTCACTTGAACTCCCACACTATCTCCGGCCTGAAACCTGGGGTGTTGTATGAAGGGCAGCTCATCAGCGTGCAGCAATATGGACATAGAGAGGTCACCCGCTTTGATTTTACCACCACTAGTACTACACCTATTTCTAGTAAGTAACAGTATGAAACCGTATTTCCATACAGCCGCCTTCCTACACTTTACTTCCTTGTAGGATCGTTCCCTAAGTTATTTGTTTCCTGTTAAAAATTCAGCTGCATCCTCTGTGGATATTATAATAGACGGTGGGTATTTTTGGTTGTTTTTTTTGCTTATTTGCCACACTGCGTACTTACCCTTTTAGAAAGGTAATAGGTACGCCTAGATCCTAGCTGGCGTAAATCGGCAGAGCTCCACTGAAGACAATGGAGCCATGTCAGTTAACCCCAGCTGAGGATCTGTCCCTTCATTTCTTTTGGGTTGGAATTTGTTAATTCAAATAAAACCTTCTGACCTCTCCCCATCTTTTTTTCCTCTGCAGGTAACACCCTTTCAGGAGAGACAACTCCCCTTTCTCCTGTGGTTGCTACCTCTGAATCGGTCACAGAAATTACAGCAAGTAGTTTTGTAGTCTCCTGGGTTTCCGCCTCTGACACTGTCTCAGGATTCCGCGTTGAGTATGAACTTAGCGAGGAGGGAGATGAGCCGCAGTATCTTGGTAAGCCAGATGTTTGAACCTGTTCGGCCGGGGTAGATTTGTGTAGCTCCGTGGTGGGGAGTTGGTTCTCCTACTCTTATATCTGGGTGAATTCTTAGAACCCTCCTTTTTTTCAAGAGCTGACTAACTCTTGTTTAATATTTTTTTCCATTGAGATCTCCACATTCTATAATATCAGCATATTAGACTGGCTGGGAAGGATGGTCTGGTGGTTAAAGTCCTGGGCTGGGATTCAGGAGATCTGGGTTTCATCCCTCTCTCTGCCGTGTGTGACTGTGGGCAGGTCAACTTTAGTCTCTCCGTTTCTCAGTTCTCTCTCTGTAAAATGGGGATGGTAATATTTCACAGGGGGCATTATGAGGATAGTGCTTAAACACTCCCAGGAGTTGTGCTCCGGAAAAGAATATGAGGGAAAGAACGACATTCTTTGATTGATTTCCATTCAGCTGCTGCCCCCTCTGAATGTTTTACATGAATTATGCATGGATCACCCAGATAATTTTTCAAAACCTCCCTGACAGAACTAGAAAATCAGGGTGTGAGTTGATGTGAAATCAGTGCTGGACTCATAGCAGTGGCTAAAGTCAGGCAGAGTGCAGTTGGTTGCTATGCAAACCTGTCACGGCACCTTACGGCTGACCTGCTCTTCCCTGGCTAGTCCGTGCCCCGACGCTCTTCTAAGTAGCCTGCCAGTTGTAGGGAACTGTCCTAGGCTCTGTGGGGCTTGTAATGGGACTAGAGAACAGGCTCAGACCAAACAAATGTTCTCACAAGAAAATTGTGACTCGTCAGAACCAACCCAGAGTTTTTGGTTGGTTTGTTTGGTGAGAAAAAAACAACCGTTGCTAAGTCTTTTCTATTTTCTTTTTTGCAAAGATCTCCCGAGCACAGCCACCTCCGTTAACATCCCAGACTTGCTACCTGGACGTAAGTACATCGTCAACGTCTATCAGATCTCAGAAGAAGGAGAACAGAATCTGATCCTGTCTACTTCCCAGACAACAGGTACATGTTGGGATGTGCTGCTTGGCTTTGGAAGTCTCTATTCTGTGGATTGTTCTCAGATGTTCGGACATGTCTTGGCCTCACTTGCTTTTCTCATCTGTTATTCCCTTCATCTCTTTTAAACAGCACCTGATGCACCTCCCAAACATAACGTGGATAAAGTTGATGACACTTCAATTGTCGTTAGCTGGAGCAGACCACAAGCTCCCATCACAGGTCTGCCTCATTTACATGTAACTATTTTAAACGGTTGAGGGAATGTTTGCAAAACCTGACATTCAGAAGAGAGGAACACACAAAGCATAACAGAGCAGATGAGCAATTCTGTCCACCCTGGGACACCACATGGAAAGTGTCTTTCAGACAAATGGGGAGTTCAAGATGCACCTTGCAGGCTGCAAGGTGCCTGTTTGATTCCTGATGGGTTTTACAGTGGGCTGGATGCAAACGGATTCTGCGGGTTCACTTGCAGATCCAGGTTTGACTAACCACAACCCCACTATCGTCTGCATCCATGGCCTCTGTCTGCCCCCACGTCATCCCCATAACAAACCTGGGAAGCATGTTCTTAAAAGTTCAGGGGTGTTTTTTGGATCCCTGCGGGAAAATGTGTTCATTTCTTATTTTTACAGTTCCTTGTGCTGGTGGTAGCGATTGCGTCTGGTGATCATGTCTGTTTTGTCACATTAGGCTACCGAATTGTCTATACCCCATCAGTGGAAGGTAGCAGCACAGAGCTCAACTTGCCTGACACAGCTACCTCTGTGACTCTCAGTGACTTAATGCCTGGGGTTCAGTATAACATCACTATCTATGCAGTGGAAGAAAATCAAGAGAGTACTCCCGTCTTTATCCAGCAGGAAACCACGGGCATCCCATCCAAAGGTAACAGCCACCATGCTTCCTGGGATCTTGTTCATTCCAAAGCAATTTGTCAGATGCAGCAGGGCCAAATGAAAAGGAAAATGCAGCCTCTAGAGCCCAGCTTTAGCTGTAAGTGGACCACCAGCAAAGGCTCTGAATGGGCATACAATCCAGAGTGGCCTTTACCGAAAACCTCACCAATGTTTAGCTCATGTACAAGCTTTAAACATTGACATATTAAAGTCAAATGCTGCTTTCTGCTAATCAAAGATGACCACTTTGGGATGCAGAGTCTTAATACTTATTTAGGTCACGTCCACACTACAAAATTATGTCGACCTAACTTACGTCGGCATACAGCCCCCGCGGCTATTAAATCACTTGTGTGTGTGCACGCTTTGCTCCTTGTGTCTGGGGTGCACATCCTCACTAGGGGCGCTCGTATTGATTGTATCGTCAGCGTGGCGCGTTGTGGGATGGCTCCCGAAAGCCAGGAAGTGTCGACGTAAGCAACGCAGTGTCTACACTGACACTGCGTGGAGCTAATTCCATCCACCATGACTCTACGGCGCTTGGGGACATTGCAATACTAAATTGTCGCGGAGAGGAACTTTGTCGGTGGGAGCCAGATTTAAGTGAACACACTTCCACAGCTAGATCAACACAAGACCGCTTACATAGAGCTCATCTTTTTCTGTGTTTATACAGCACCAAGTACAATGGGATCCATAACTAGGACTCCTAGGTGCTTATTGCAGTACAAAGAATCAATAATACTAATACCTAGCAGTAGGATGACAGGCCAGTCAAAAGGCTGATCTCTGTTGTAAGACCATGTCTAGGCAAAGGGAAAATCTCAACAGATTTTTCTAAGTCATCATGAAGGTTCTCTTGCGAGATCATGTTACCAGCATTGGAAGGGTATCTGGTTGCCATGATACTTCAGATTTCAGGTGACTAGGGTTTGGTACCCTGATCCATATTTAAACACCTGAATAATTAAGCAGATTTTTTTTTTCAGGTACTGAGCCCCTGCTAAAGTCATTAGGAGTGGAAATTGCTCAGTACTTATGGATTTGGGAGCTTAACTATAGGCACCCACAGTTTTTTTTTTAAATTGCCCTTAATTTTAAAAAAGAAATCAATTAGGCTGTATAACTGAACCAAAAAGAAATGTTCTGAAAGAATTAGGGCCGGTGTGGTGATAGTGGAATCAGACGTTCTTGCGATGAGAACGCCAGGAATGAACTAGGTCCAATGATTTTATGATTTGTCATCCATATAGTCTGAGAATTACCGATGTTTGTATTGGTTAACCATAAGGCATCACGTGGAACTCATTTGCACAAGTAATCCGAAACCTCCGTTGAATATAAGACTCCACAATGGCTCTGATACTGCACCATTGAAGCCAATGGGAGTTTTACCACTGACTTCAGTGAGGCTGGGGTCACACCCTGTAGTTGTTTAATTATAAAGGGATTGGGTTTAAAATTAATGTATAGATTCTCCAATTGTTCTGCTGGTTTTTAAAGCCTTTTCTTCTTAATTAGCAAAATAGCTTCTTGTTTCCAGTCATTGGATAATTTGGGGGTGGGGGGGTTGTTTTGTTTTTTCAAACTTGTGGCTCTGTACGAAGTTGACATTCTGCTGCTTCGTGCATTTGATTTTTTTAGTTTTTCTTTTGTGCCAACAAAATAATCCATATGCAAATCTTAGATTAACATCTTCTCAGCCACCCAGTGTAATTTCAGATGTACAGTAGACTCAGGTATTTTCTTAAAATCATTTGTTAAGATAGGGCTTATTTGACATTTTCTGTTGTGTAAATGGTCTCAGTCAAACGTGTAAGAGTTTAGTTATTCAGTCAGAACTCACTTCTTCGTTGTTCCGCACCTTATTCCTGGAGTCACCTTTACCATTCTGTAAGGAATCCCTCTGTCTTACTGGATGTTTCTCTTCTGTCAGATGATGTTCCTTCACCCACGGACCTACAGTTTGTGGAAGTCACCGATATCAAAATCACCATCATATGGACCCCCCCATCGAGCACAGTGTCTGGCTATCGGGTGGAAGTCATCCCGGTTAACCGCCCTGGTGTACATGGACAGAAACTGCCTACTACCAGGAATTACTTTGCTGAGGTCACTGACCTTTTACCTGGAACGACCTATAACTTCAAGGTCTTCGCAGTGCTCCAAGGCCGGGAGAGCAAGCCATTGACCGGAGAGCAAACGACTAGTAAGTGTCTTTCCTTGACGCTTTTTTTATGGACTTGGAAGTGACTCTTTTCCCCTCCTTTAGAGCAACATGTAAAGACATCACTTAAAGTGGAACAGTTCGTTCCAGCCATGTGGCACCCAATAAACAAAATGATGGGGCTGAGAATTCAGCTGATCATGCAGTGATTTCCTTAGCAGATGAATTCTCTCCCAGCGCTTTCCGAGAGAGGTTTAACTCTGAGTGTTTGGAAACAATTTAATGTGGCTGGAGTTCTCTTGCTTTCCTTTTTTAATTGATTGAAAAGGTGTGTGCCCTTCTGGCTCATTGCTAGCAAAGGTCTGAGGCTATGACTTTGCAAAGGCACCTTGGGGTGAATTTCAATGGGATTTGGGAGCCTAACTTGCTTAGACTGCCTTTGTACATCTCAATCTCAATGCTGATTGCTGGCATGCACGCTTGGCTTTCATTGACTGCCATAGGAGCTCTGTGTGTGCCCCTAAGAACAGGAATCGGTGCGTCGTTAAAGTGACAGTACATCCCAACGTTACCATGTCAGTCCTGGTTCGTCATATGATATCCTGCTACTCCTTTCAGGAGGCATCACTTGCCTCATCAATCAAAACGTCGGGGGTATAAAATGTTTGTTCAAGACCTCTGGCTACCCTGCTATAAGGTGTTTTTACAGCCCTGTTTCACTGTTGCCACACAGAGCTTTGTTCAAAGTCCACTGAAGTCTGTGGAAGTTTTTTGCATTGATTTCAATGGGACTTTGGATCAGGCTCATAGGGAGTGCGTTTCCCACTAATCACTGTTCAAGGGCAAAGCCTCTCACAGTTTTGTTAATGACGACAGTACAATGTCAGTGGCCCAGTCAGTTCATTGCAAAACCCCTCCTCTGGCTCCTTGGTGTGAGGAGAAAGGGACTTCCTGGCAGTTCCTCTGTCCCTTGCTTCCCACAACCGTAGAGAGGCTGGAAGCAAGGGACTGAGGGACGCAAAGGATAGAGGTGAAACTCAGCATCTCTTTGATTTCCCCAGCTGTAAAATGGATATAATGATACTGACTTCCTTTGTAAAGTGCTTTGAGATCTACTGATGACAAGCGCTGTGTAACAACAGCTGCATATGGCTATGATTTGATCCGCTCCTTGAAGTGTTTTCCCGACCCAAGAGAAGCTGATCAAAGAAAGTCAGAATGTGGCTCTTGTGAGTATTTCACAACCCTGAAAGAGTGACCACAAAAGTGTCCCAGTTTTTGATTCTGAAGTTACACACAGGGCCAGGCTTTCAAAAGTGCCCAACTCTCATTGGTCGTATTCTGAACGGTTGTTCTCACTGTTGAAAGTCTGGCCCAGAGTGTCTAAAAGAGAAAGAAGCAGAAGACATTTTGATCTTATTCATTTCCTCAGAATAAATAAGTTTAGGTGCCTGGACATTTTCAAAAGCATCTACATGACTTAGGAGCACAAGTCCCATTGAAAACACTTTTTGAAAATCCCACCCTGAATTTCCTTCGCTGTTTACAAAAAACAAACAAACAAAAAAGACCACCTCAAGTGGCCGGATTTTTCCCAAGAGCTCAGCTCCCATTGAGACCTAAAAGTTCCAGTGTTTGTTCCCACTGGGGTTTGCCGGGTGCAGAGCGCTTCTGAAAATCCGCCCACTTCATTTAGGTGCCTAAATGGGAGCCGAGCTCTTTTGCAAAACTGGCCCCAAATGTTTATTTGGAATATGAAGCTGAGCATAGTCATTTGAATAGGCAGGCAGAGACCTAGTAACACACGTCTGGAATTGTTTTCCATAGGCTGCGATCATCCACTTAACTGCTTTGTCTGAACCACATTGCTAAAAGTATTCAGCTGTGTTGTGTCCTGTGATTGAAAGTCCCGGGGAAAAGAAATCAGTCAGGTTTCCCAAGAAAAACTTTCCAGCAAAAGTCTTCCCATGGTGCAAACTTGCTTCTCCTTTTGTCCTTCCGTTAAACAGTGGCCTACAAATAAGCTATGATTGTGTGTGCTTTTGTATCTGTTTTGCATGGGTGGAGGAAGTGATAAAAGCCTCATACAGCTGACTGGTCAAATTCTCTACCAGTATAACAGAGAACCAGATATAGGTCTACATACGAGAGAGAGATACAACGCTATCGTTTTCTGTGCGGAACAAGCCCGAGTGTCAGTCGAGTTTTATATTCTCTAAACCACTGGTTCTCAACATGGGGATCATTAACAGGCTTGAGGAGGGTCACAATAACTCTCCCTTTCTTTATGACCATCCTCCTTTTCTTTATAGATGGGGGCGGGGAAGGGAGTTAATTTTTCCCTCCCCAAAAAATGTTGATAAAAATTAAAACACTGAGAACCCCAAAACTGACTTTTTTTTTTTTTTTTTTTGGGGGGGTTGGTTCCATTAACAGGTTTTTTTAAATGGATTTTTAATAAATTTCCATTTAGTCAAAAAACTATTTTCTATTTTAAAAAATGTTTAGATGGAACATTTTTTTGACTGATGCTAGTTGCAACATGGGATTGGGGCATGGAAAAGTTGAAAACTACTGCACTAAGCAACATAGGGCCAGATTTTTAAAGGTATTCAGATGCCTAACTCCCATTGGGCATTCTTTTTCCCTGGACCTTTTCTGGGCTTTAATTCCTATAAGTAAGCATTTTGTCAGGGGCTAACATCTCTGCTGCATTCATTTTGGTCTGGATCATAGAATATCAGGGTTGGAAGGGACCTCAGGAGGTCATCTAGTCCAACCTCCTGCTCAAAGCAGGACCAATCCCTAACTCAATCCCCAAATGACCCCCTCAAGGATTGAACTCACAACCCTGAGTTTAGCAGGCCAATGCTTAAACCACTGAGCTATCCCTCCCCTCAGCACACCCCTTAAGTATGTACATAACTTTAAGCACATACTTAGGTGCTTTGCTGTGTCAGGGCCTAAGGATAAAAATGCCAGTATGGAGACATATGAAACATTCCAAAGACCTTGTATAATTCATATAGGAGAGACAAGCATGCATAGGGTTATTTTACAGCATAGTTCTCCGCTTGACTCTTTTAGGTTAACGTATTCCTCCCCAGAAATGTGGTGGTGTTTTTTAATTAAAATTGGTGCATATGTTTTGGTATTTTTAAAAAACGACTACTGAGATTTTTCAAAAGAAAGTCTAAAGTTGGCTGCTAAACCCATGGAAGAACTGTTAATACACACTTTGCTTTTCCTTCTAGAACTTGATGCTCCCACCAACCTCAGGTTTGACAACATTACTGAGTCTGCAGTGTTCGTGGCCTGGACTCCACCACGTGCTCCGATCACAGGATACCAACTGACTGCAGGTCCCACAAGAGGAGGCCAGCGAAAGGAGTACACCGTGGGGCCATCTGCCACCAAATACGCACTGAGGAACCTGCAGCCTGGGTCCGAGTACACTGTCTACCTTGTGGCGGTGAAAGGCAACCAGCAAAGCAGCAGAGAAACTTCAGTCTTCACTACTTGTAAGCATGATGGGTGCTTATTCATTTACCAGTGACACTGTCCTCTTCAAAAGCATAGGCTGCGTTTGAAACCGGCCATTCTAACTCGTCTTTCAAAATATTCCTTTGAAATAATATTTGAATGGAGCTACTCGGGAAATGGCTTTCCCACCATACTTCATAAGAAATTTAGACAAAAACCAAAAATATTACATTTCCATTCGAAATTTCTGATGAAATGTTTCAGCTTTTTGTTGAAAAACAAATCTAAAACTGAACATTTCCAAATATGTCAGTTGTCGGCAACCCAAACACCAACTCATTTCAGGCAAGCATATGTTTTCAGTTTCACCCAACGTATTTTGATTGTTAGCTGGATTTTCCAATTTTGCAGCAAAAACCCAGGGGGAAAAAAATGATTAAAAACTGACATTTCCCATGTGCATTTTGATGAGAGAGCCATTTTCCCTCAAAAAACATTTTCAGACAGTTCTATGTTTGAGCCTTTCTGATATGTTAGCTAGTGGTTTAAGGGAATGCGTAGTGGATAAAATGGCCTTTTCTTCCCAAAGATTATAGTGTTATGATGAGTTGGTTAAGAACCACTGCCTACTTGTAGAAAGAATAGATAGATTTTGCTATTCAAATAATGATGAAGCTGTGATTTAAACCAACAGAAATCAAAACCTCTCATCAATAAGGCTGATAACCACATCCTTTGTTCAACGGAGTGTGTGGATTTTGTATCAGTGTGAAGTTAAAACCAAGCATCCACATTTATCCCTGGTGTAATATTATTGACTTCAGTAAAGTTACACCAGAGATGCACTTGGTCCATAGTGTCCGCCTTAGATGTGGCCTCATTTCTGGCGAGGACACTGCGTGGCTGAGATAAAGAAAGCTATTGCCTTTCACAACTACTTGATTGGACTGAGTCTATTCCAGGTTAGGAATATGTTGTGTAATTGTATATTTTTTTAATTGATAGTATTTTAAAGAATAAAATGCAAAATCTCAGTCAAGGCTTTTTCCATGCTAAGTCTGCGAATATATCCCAGGATCAGCCAAATTATGAATAAATAAAAAAAAAAAAAAATACTGTAAATGGTAACAAACATTGACACCCCTCCCTCACTCGCCCTCTGCCCTTAAAATCACAAAGGGCTATCCAGAGAGTTACAGAAATCTGGGTAGTGCTGAGTTTGAACTCCATTTATCTGTTCCTTTCACAGTGCAGCCCATGGGTTCCATCCCTCCCTATAACACAGAAGTGACAGAAACTTCTATTGTTGTTACCTGGACACCTGCGCCAAGGATTGGTTTCAAGGTATTTTCCCACGGAAGCCTTTGGATCTGTTTTGCTCTCTATTGCTTAATTCCATTAGCTGTCACCCAGCTAGGACCCGTTAAGAACGAATGGCCAGAGAGGATGGTTTGGGGAAGGAAGGGTAGTCACAAATATGGGAGCACTGAGTAGTGCGAGGCAGTGTCTTGTCTTCTTAATCTGAAGTGACTATTCAGGGGTTAAAATATTTATGCAAAGGAGGTGATGCACTCACATGCCTGATCCAAGGCCCATTGAAGTCAATGGGAGTCTTTCGCCTGACTTCTGTGGGCTTTGGATCAGGCCCATATTTGGGGCATTGAGTTGATAGTCCGTCATGCAGCACCATGAGGTTGCACTGTCCCGTTGTGCCGCATGATGCTGTGTTCCCTGGGGCTTACCCAGCTACAGGCTATCCATGCCCTCTGTGCTCCAGCATAGGCCAACTTCCCCACAACAAGTCAGCTAATCACTTTGGAGGATGTGTCCAGAAGGCTTATAGACACCTAGATGGTTCATATGTGAGGCTGAAATGCAACCTTCCCCCTTTCTTCTCCTCTACAGCTGGGTGTGCGACCAAGTCAAGGTGGAGAAGCCCCACGGGAGGTGATTTCTGAATCTGGTAGCATTGTTATCTCTGGCCTGACTCCTGGAGTGGAGTATGTCTACAGCATTTCAGTCCTGACGGACGGTCAGGACAGAGAGACGCCGATCATCAAAAGAGTAACTACACGTACGACACATCTGAATATCCCTTACTAATCTGTAATGCTCTGGCTCTACCTCGTTAGGTCACTGCGTGGCTGAGTGGGTAGTGGAGGACTCAGGAGGGCTGGATTCTATTTGCAGCTCTGCCACTGCAGGATAGCCTTGGGCAAGTCTCTTTGCCTCAGTTCTTCCCTATATTTAATCGGAATAATGCTAATGATTTTCTTTTATAAAGCACCTTAAGATCTCGGCCTGAATTCAATTGAGTGCTAAAAGAATTATTATTATTATTAGTAGTAGTAGTATTGCTAAACCCCTAAAACAGTGCATTTGTGGTGTCATTTTCTCTCTTCTCAGTCTCAAAGGAGTCTGCTCTCCCTTTGATTCTCAGCTGACATTAACATTACTGCATGTGGCGTCAGAGTACAGCTCTGAAAGAAGCTATTTTAGTTGTTGGTTAATTTTAAGGGTTTGGGTTGTTTTGTTTTTCAAATGACTCTTGGGATTGTCAACTGATCACGCATTTGGCTTCTTGTAGCATTATCCCCACCGACTAACCTGCATCTGGAGCCTAACCCTGACACTGGAATCTTGACGGTCTCCTGGGATAGAAGCACAAGTCCAGGTAATTACATTGCATCAGAAATGGCTCCGCATTACGAAAGTGTAGATCAAGAATAACTCCCCTGATTTACTCCAGAATTACACTAGTGTAACTGACGGCACAGCGATAGTGGTTAACCAGGCACCGATTAAATGTTTAGCTTCCATGTCATCTTTTGGCATATGTTATTTTCAGTTACATTCAAATATCATCTGATGAAATACAAATGTTCTGCATTCCTGTATGAAAACGGTCTGCCACAGGACTCTTAAAGCCATACTTTCCATGTCAAACAGTGACATTCCAAAGGATGATCAAGATTGCCTTTCAAGTCAGGTAGGATTGGGGGAGTGAGGACTCTGCTCCAGTATCCTCGCTAGCTAACATAGAGTCTGAAATAAAAAAAGCAAAAAAGACCAAGAGGGTTTCTGTCAGGAAGGGAAAATGTAGGGTAGTTCATTGAAAGTGAGTGGGGCATTTTCCAAAACACCCAACCTTGGCCTAACTCTTCTCCCACTGATGTGGATGGGAGTATTTCCCGTGACTTCAATGGGAACTGGTAGGCCAATGCTGAGTGCTTTTGAAAACCCCCACCCTGAGCTGAGAGATGCAACGTTTCCTATTTCTTGTCATTAGAATTTTGGCTTTGGGCAACTCCTAAGAGTCCATTTTCAAAGCGCTGCAGAGACTAGCTGTGTCTCCTGTTAATGCTCATGGGAGCTGCACGGCTAAGCCCCCATTGGACACTTCTTTGGAAATGTATCTCAGTGTGTCAATGCGAAATGGACCCATCCTACGTTGAGCAAGCACTTGCGTGCCCAGCTGAGGTTGATAGGGAGCATCTGTTTAATATCATCTGTGTTTTCTCTGACCGATTGTATCCAAGCCTGGTTTAAATAAATCCGCCGCATTGATTCCTGTGATCTATGTATTTCAGGCATCACTGGGTACAGAGTTACCACTGTTCCTACCAGTGGGCAGCAGGGTTACACCCTGGAGGAAGTGGTCAGTGCAGAGCAGAATTCCTGCATCTTTGAAAATCTGAGCCCTGGCCTGGAGTACAACGTCAGTGTTTATTCTGTCAAGGACAACAAGGAAAGCGTCCCCATCTCCAAAACCATCACACAAGGTAATGGAAAGATAAGCAACCGCCTCGGTCACTGTAACAGACCAACCTCGTAAGCAGTCTGCACATGGACCTCCCGCTGACTCTGTTGGTGGAGGATTTGCAGGCTTAGACCCTAGCAGCAAGGTAGTCACTTGCCCTACGTGCCAGTGCAGGTGAGTAAGGGGGCCCTTATACCCCCTTACGCATTGGCAGCCCATCCGCAGGGGAAGAGCTGTCTCTGTGAAACCGGTACACTGCCTCACTTGCACAGGTGGGCTGGGGACTGGGCAGTGCCTTGACTCCACCCCATGGTACCCCAGCCAGCAGATCTGAGCCGGCGAAGAAGGGAAAGCCAGGACGTAATGTAGTACTAGTCGGAGCTAGCGGCAGATTACTTTGTGGGTATTTCACTATGTGCTGGGATGTCTCCATGTAGTCCCAGTACCACAGTACTACGATAAACATCTGAATCCCTGAATGATTGGGTGTTAGTTTTGCTTTGTGAAGGTTTTGTTTGGCTTTGTTTCCGTTAAGCCATGAAACGATGCCAGCTCGTGTGTTTGGCAAATGCTTGCTGTTAACCCTGCTTTTAAAATGTCTATGCTTCACTGAGTTGCTGTGCGCTCCTGTGGGTATCTAATGATACAACATTGCTGCATTAAACCAACAATGGCTTTAACCCGGTACCATGCTCCAATGTGGGGGAAAAAAGCACTAAAATGGCATCCTGTGTGTCTTTTGGTACTCTTGAAAGGTGATATGGTAAATGCATCCCATGAGGATAAATAGTTATTTTACAGAAAATGGACATTTTGCTACACTTATTCTGTAAAATACTTGTTTTTCGTAACGGAGCAAGAAATATTTGCTCAGTTATTAAGCAAACTAGCCCATTGCGCCAATTCTATCTGATATTTCCTTTTTCCAGCTAATTCCTAATGATCCTATCACAAGTGTAATAAGCCATAGGTCCTTTCTTACTGAGGGGAGCAGCATCCCCAGCTCCCACTGACTTCAGAATTTGGTCCTTAAAGCTACAGGGCCAGACTCTGAGCTGGTGCCGTTCTGCTGACTTCAAAGGAACTGTGTCAGTTTGTGCCAGCTGAAGAGTTGGTGCCTATAAGTTAAAGGCATAGCAAAATCCCTGATTTCTGTTGACTCTAACATTTGGAAAAGAACAGCTTTGCTAAAGTTGTAGTGTCCATCGGAAAAATCCCATAGCCTTGTTAACTATGCAAACATCTAGGATGCATGTAGAAGGTTATTCAAATGAATCCTAATTCAATGGCTTGGTTTGAAGATTGTAAAGTTTGGTTAAGAAACCAAGTCAGTTTCTCTCAGCCACATACTGCTCCTAGCATAACATTCAGAGCTGGGTGATGCTGAGAGTTTCATATGGAAAACCCATCTCCTAGAAAAGCTCATTTTTAACCACTTACAGTTTTTCTAAGCAAGCTTTATATTGCTCCCAAGTTTGGGGTTTTTGTTTTAGCACCTGTGCGGCAGCTATAGCAGTAAGACTTTAAGAACACCAGGCCAGAACCTCAGCTGGTGAAAATCATCATAATTTCTTTTAACTCAATAGATACACTGATTTGCACCAGCTGCCTTCATTGACTTAAATAGAACGACAGCAGTTTTTGCCAGCTCAGGAGTGGGCCCACTCCAGTTATTTCAGCATTCCCAATGTGTTGATAATTTTAGGATCTGAACACTTGCAGCTGGGCATAGTATTCTGACTATTTTTTAAAAAAATTCTCGAGGGTCAGTTATCACTAATCCAGTTTTCTTTTGCTTAAAGATTAACAGACAAGAGAATTTTTTTAAAAATGCTAAAATTGGGAATGTGTCTTTAAGAGAATAATTTAAAAAACCACCTCAGGGCCCAATTGTCTCATCCTTACAGTAAGGTCAATGGGAGTTAGGCGCCTAAACCACTTAGGCTGTTGTACATCCAACCAGGCAGAGTCCAGCTCTTCAAAGGTATTTAGGCACCTAACTCCCACTGAAATCCTGCATTCCTGCCTGCTTCTTTCCCTGTGTAAATATGGCCCTCCGTGTGTTGCAAGGTGCTATTTCATGTGAGGAAAGGTGGCGCAATTGGGCCCTCAGTGGGAAAATGTTGCATATCACCATCATCGCTTGACCGTTTCCTCACTGTTAAGACGTGTAACCTGATGCACACTGCCTTATTTTCCCCCCTCCTCTTTTCTTTTGCCTCTGTGTGTCTTTGCTGTTCCCCTTGGCACTCAGTAGAGGTGCCCCAGCTCACTGACCTAAGCTTTGTTGACATAACTGATACAAGCATCGGCCTGAGGTGGACCCCGCTAAATGCCTCCACCATTATTGGTTACCGCATCACGGTAGTCGCGGCAGGAGAAAGTGTCCCTATTTTTGAAGATTTTGTGGACTCCTCAGTAAGATACTACACAGTCACAGGCCTGGAGCCGGGCATTGATTACGACATCAGCGTAATCACACTCATTAATGGCGGAGAGAGCGCCCCTACCACTCTGACACAGCAAACGGGTGAATTTTGAAAACTTCCGTGTTTGTGACCTGGATGGTGTTTCATGCTGTCACTAGCTGCTAGGGAGACTGGGGCTTTCTCGGAGAAGAATTGAGCCACTCACTGTGATGGGGGGAGGGGAGGACAAGGACCGGCTTCTGTTTTAAATATAGAATGGGAAGGGCGATGCAGTTTGCATTTTTTTAGCCCTGTGCATGAACTGCATTTTTATATTGCAGGTAACTGCAATGGCAGGATCTTATTCAAGCTGGATTTTCAGGTTTCACTGTTAAACTTGAGTTATGTGATCCCCAAAGTATAAGATCCTGAATCACAATCTCCAAAGTGAGATGGGATCCCCCAAAGGGTCGATACAATTCTAGAGACACTCTTCGGTTTAGCCCCTGACGCTCTCACTAGTCAAGTCATTTGAGCTATTTGTATTTTTTTGGTGGTGGCCCAACTCTTCAAATCTTGCCTTAAAAGATGGACAAGAAACATCACTCCCTGAGCACATGCTAGTGACAGGCATGTCACACTGTCAAGGTTCTCTGTAGTGCATGGGTAGAAGATGAACTGAGGACTAGTTTGTGCATGAAACCCTGTCACGTGTGAGTAAGCTGCTGAGGTTCTAAACCCTTAAACACACAAGTAGACGTAGAGGCAAAGGGACTTAATGGATCTACCCTCTCCTTCTCTATTTATGCATGTATCCGTTTTGGATGAAAGGACTTTTTCATATGTAAACTGCTGTACGGCAACTTAAGCCTCTCTTGGCCACGTCTCTATAACCCAAGTTGCAGCTGCAAGGCCAATATTACAGAAACCTGCCACCTTGTTTTCAAATTATCTCGACAGAATACATTTCAGTATCAGCGATTGCCAAGAGGTTAAAGGAGCCTGACAGTAGCGTGAGTGTTTTTAACTGTAGTGGAACCAAATGTAGCTTAGGAGTATGTTTTGCATGGGTCTGACACCGTAGCCTCTTTTTTGCATGAGATACACTGTAGATTCCCTGAACATCCACCTTGGTAAACTCTCACCTTCCAGAAAATGTTAAAAAAACAAACCCCAATATTCTTTGCATGTAGCTGTTCCGGCTCCAACTGATCTGCGCTTCACCAACGTGGGGCCAGATGCTATGCGTGTGACCTGGACTCCTCCAGTATCCATTGAACTGACCAGTTTCCTGGTGCGTTACTCACCTGTGAAGAAAGAGGAAGATGTTGCTGAGCTGACCATTTCACCCTCCAACAACATGGTGGTTTTAACAAGTAAGAGATTACCGGCATAGGTCAGGGGAACGTAAGGGACTTCTCTACAGCAGCACTTCTCAAGCTGAAGTCCACTGATGGTTGGTGGGTCTGCGGAGCACTTGCTGGTCTGTAGGTGGTCACATGGTATTAGCTCCCTCCCCCTGGTTTACAGCAGCTAAATTACATTAAAATAGATACAAATACGTAAAGTACTTTCTTAATATTACTCTCCTATGTATTAATGGGTATAGCTGCCACATGGACATGGAGCAGTCATGAATTGGGGAGACATGGTTCTCCTGATTGTGAATTGGAGGTGAGTTGGTCCGTGAGATAATTTCCCGAAAGATGTGGTCCATCCTCTGAACACATTGAGAACCCCAGCTCTCCCGTGAATTTCTTGTTGGAGACCCAGCATAAAGGGAAGGAAAAGCAAGAAATTGATTGGAATAAGTATAATGGACCAGATTCTCTGCTGATGTAAATTGGCGTAGCTTCATTGACTTCCATAGAGCTATGCTAATTTACACCAGCGAAGGACTCGGTTCATTGTTTTAACAAAGTTAAAATCAAACCGTGTAAATCTTTTCCCACTAAGACAAGGATGATGATTCATCATACTGGGGGGCAATTGAACCTGGTTAGCTATTAAGAGTAGGTACATATTGCCTATCTTGTTTGACAAAAAGTCAATGACTTGCAGTGCAGCGGTCTAGATGAAGACACAAAGGATCAAAATAAGCAAAAGGTCCCCTTTGAGTCTTTTGATTTTGGAAAGGAAAATAAATGCTCTATCTGAAATTTCAGCAGTACCGTGTAACTGATCTCTTGCATTTCTCACAAGCATATAATTAATTTGCTCGTCTCGATAAAGTTGTGTTTTGTTGGGAGGATTTTCCCTAGAAACTGGACAAGTTGGTTGAGTGAGAGACAGTCCCTGCTTTAAAAATAAAGGACCGCATTCTTAGCTGGTGTACAATAGAATCGTTTCACTGAAATTCAGTGGTGCGACATCAGTTTACATCAACTGAGGATCTGGCCCTGTGTATCACTAAATGCTCAGAGCTGGCAGGCCTGTATGGAAAACTAATCCCTGCTGACAAGCCCATCTAAATAATGTCCTTGCCAAATAGCAATAAAAAAAGAAACCACCAACGCTTGTTGCAGGCTAAAACTTCCATGAAACAAAAGGCCATTCCCATGCTTAGAACCAAGGGTATGTCTACACTACCCGCCGGATCGGCGGGTAGCGATCGATCTATCGGGGATTGATTTATCGCGTGTAATGTAGACTCGATAAATCGATCCCCGATCACACTCCCGTCGACTGCTGAACTCCAGTTCGGCGAGAGGCGGAAGCGAAGTCGACGGGGGAGCGGCGGCCATCGATCCCGCGCCGTGAGGACGCGAAGTACGTGATTCTAAGTCGATCTAAGATACGGCGACTTCAGCTACGCTATTCTTGTAGCTGAAGTTGCGTATCTTAGATCGATTTCCCCCCCCCAGTGTAGACCAGGCCCAAGCTTCAGCTGGATTCAAATGTCTAACTATCCATTAGGCTCAGGTTTTGCACAGGCTAAGCAAAAATCGGTCGCTTCACATCATGAGCTGTGTCAGTCAGAATTGCTGAGGTTTTTCAGTTGCGCCGAGAGTCTGACAATTGCGGTGTGGTTTAATCCTTCAGGTCTCCTGCCTGGCACTGAATATCTGGTGAGCGTCTACAGCGTCTATGAGCAGCATGAGAGCACCCCTCTGACTGGTGTGCAGAAAACAGGTATGTGGAAACCTGCTTGGAAAACTTCCGTTTGCTTCTATCTCTTCCGTTAACCGCTCACTGTTAGGACAACTCTAATCACTGGGGAGACTTGGGGCATAAAAGCCTTTAATATTTTGCTCTTCTTGACATGTACGGTTATATTGTTGGGGAGTTGCACAAAAGATTTTAAGGGAGTGATGCAGAGAGACAGCTTGGGGAGTGCTGAGCAAAATGGTCAAAGGGCCAGCTCTTTAGTTGGTTTTAATTAAAAGGTGTATAATTGACTTCAATGGGGCTATGCTAACTTACATCCACTGAGGATTTGGCCCAATAAAAGACCAGTGTTCAGTCCCCCCAAGAGGGGTCCAGACACTTCAGGATCAGGTCCCTCCACTGTATCCCTCTGACATTGTACAACCAAGCAGCAGAAGTATTCTGATGTTTCTGTACTTTGGCTTTTTCTGTTCTCTGAAACCAGGGCTGGGTGTTTTCGTTTGGGCAAACATGTAAAATTGTCAAATACCTCAAGTTCAGAGGACTCCAAATGTGGACTGAACTTGCGATGAGATTCCATTTTTTGCCATTACGTTCCTGTGGTTTTTTAACACCACTGTATGATCTGGATCATTACATATTTATAGGTTCAGTGCTGAACAGTGTTTGGCAGGAGTGCAAGCAGGATTCTGAAATCCCACCGTGGGGTGGGGTTGGGGAAATCCCTCATCATTTCAAAATAAATGTATCTGTTATTCAAATAAGCTGAACGTCCCTTTTCTTGGGGATCCTCCCGCCCCGACCAGGTCTTGATTCTCCCACCAGCATTGACTTTTCGGATACAACTGCCAACTCTTTCACTGTGCACTGGATTGCTCCTCGTGCCACTATCACCGGCTACAAAATTCGCCACCATCTGGAACACAGCGGCACCAGGCCCAGGGAAGACCGTGTCCCACCTTCTCGGAATTCCATCACCCTCACTAACCTGGCTCCAGGGTCAGAGTACGTGGTCAGCATTATTGCTGTCAACGGCAGAGAGGAGAGCTTGCCCTTGGTTGGCCAGCAAACTACAGGTCAGTTCGGAGACAAGACAGACATAATGTACATTGAAATTCTCCTGCCCCATCTTGACAAGTTGTTAAACTGAATCCTTCCGGCTGGCTGGCAAGTAACTGAACTACTGACAGCAGAGCAGAAAGTTGGCTAGAGCAGTGGTCTTCAAACTTTTTTGAACACTCACCCCATCAGTAAAAAAATTTTGAGCACGCACCCCCTGCTCCTGGCCGAACTATCGAAGCAAAAAAAAAAAAAAAATGCCGCTTGGACTCCCGGCTGAACTGCCGAGGGAGGACCTGGAGGGGGAAGCCGCTCGGACTTCTGGCCAAACTGCCGAGGGAGGGGGGGGGAAAAAAAAACCCCTCGGCCCGACCGCCGGGGGGTGGGGGGGAAAAAAAAAAGGGTCACTGCTCCGGCGGCGCTCCTCCTGCCGTGCACCCCGAAGGATCCTCTTGCGCACCCCCTGGGGTGCGCGCACCCCACTTTGGAGACCACTGTGCTAGAGGAGAAAGGGCCTGATTCAAAGGCCTCTGAGTTCAATGGACAGACTCCCACTGATTCCCATGAGCTTAGGGTCAGGCCCAAAGCACAGAAAATCTATCTGCTAAGGAGACCAGGCATTTTATCATACAAAGGAGTTTGTGAAGAGGCTAAGTGTTAATTCAGATAGCTCGGGCCATTGTCCATTGTGCACATTCTTTTGTTTTAAATGACCTTGTGGTGAGCCTGCCTCAGAGTGTCGCGCTACCAAAGCAAAGGAAAAACCCAGGGAGCTGCCGGTTGGCTCCTGGGCTGGTAGATCCATAAGGATTGAGGCCTTTCTTCTTGCCCTCCAATGGGAGACATCAAAGTCCTCCCACCGAGGGCAGTAGCCTTCAGAAATGAGTTCTCTGGGCAATTTCCCTCTCCCCGAGGTTTTTCTGCAGGAGGGACACATTCAGGGCTCAATCTAGTGGCCACAGAAGTCAATAGCAATCTTCCCATAGCCATTGGATTCAGGCTCTTAGCCAGATACGTCACCTAGAGACCGGACGGCAAACTGTGGGCTACTGGAAAGACTTGTTAGTAGCAACAGCCTCCAGTGTAAGTGGAGTAACAGGAGCCAGGGGAGAGTCAAATGTTTTTTTTTTAAATTTTCTTTTTTAACCCTGACCTCTTTTCTAGTTTCCGACGTTCCAAGGGACCTGGACGTTACTGCCACTAGCCCCACCAGCCTGGTGATTTCCTGGGATGCTCCTGCAGTTACTGTTCGATACTATAGGATAACCTATGGTGAAACAGGTCAGTGCGATCTAATATTACCACTTCTACAAGAGCTCCCCGTTGACACCACGTGTGAAGCTTTACGCTTGGGCCATCTAAAAACTGCAGCAACTAGTGAGGGCAAATCTGATCGATGATTGTAGCATGCCGCATGCTCCGAGAACTCAGACGGAGGCAGTGTGCTGATGGATATGCACCGAGAGAAGATCACCAACAAGTAAATATCATGACTGAACTTTAAAGGTGGGGCAAATCATCTTCGCCTACCACATCCAGAAACTCCATTCATTTCAGTGGGAGTTCCATGGGCCTCTCATTTGCCTTTTGGTTTGGGGTGAAAAAGGCCTTTCCAACTTATTATGGGTTGACCCAAATCTCATTGGAATCAATGGGAGTCTTCCACTGACTTCAGCTCAGTGGGGTTTGGATCATCCCTTGCTTTTTGTTTAAAATGTGAGTAATTATCAGCGTTTTCATCAGATTTGCTTTCTGACCTGCCCTCCCAGGTGGCAGTAGCCCTGTCCTGGAGTTTACCGTGCCTGGCACCGTGTCCACTGCCACCATCAACGACCTGAAGCCCGCAGCAGACTATACCATCACCGTGTACGCAGTGACAGGCCGTGGAGACAGCCCCGCCAGCAGCAAGCCAGTCACGGTCACGTACAAAACAGGTGAGACACATGGACAATGCTGCTAGCTTCTGGGGGGAGGGATAGCTCAGTGGTTTGAGCATTAGCCTCGTAAACCCAGGGTTGTGAGTTCAATGCTTGAGGGGGCCACTTAGGGGTCTGGGGCAAAATCAGTACTTGGTCCTGCCTAGTGAAGGCAGGGGGCTGGACTCGATGACCTTTCAGGGTCCCTTCCAGTTCTATGAGATAGGTGTATCTCCATATATGTATTTATTTATTCTGGTTTATCTCATCATTGTCCTCTGTTTCGGTTGGGAGTAATGGGCCCGGTGGCTTTGGTGGAGTTACACTCCAGAAGGATTTGGCCCCATCGTGTTCATAATGTTACAGAATGGGATGGCGGCTTTTGGAGAGGGGAGTTAAGAATAAGACTAAACAAACTTACTGGAGTTGTGGACTTGTTTAGGGGGAACCACTTAACATCCATCTTTGTTGGCGTGAGCATACCAAGCAAAGGCTGGCTCCTCGCACAGGGGGTGTCAAACCACTTGGCTGTTTGATGTAGGATGACTATTCTGCTGCATCTTATCTCTGGCATTTTTAATGCACTATAGCACGTAGGTACTCTCTGACCCTCATAGGAACTACCCTTGATGAGCTCTCTGGGGCAGAGACTGTCTTTGGATAGTTGTTTGCCTAAGGTTTGAGCCAACTCCCATTGAAACCGATGGAAAATCTCTTTAATGGCCCTTTTAAAAGACTTCCACTGCCCTTAATGGGTATTGGATGTAGTGAGCTAAGTACTATGGGCCTGATACGTGATTCTTGATTGGGACCCCTAGTCAGATTGTAAACTGCTTGGAACAGGGACTGTCGACTGCTCTGTCTGTACAATGGGGTTCCATTCACAGGCACCACTGTAATAAACGTGATCGATAATAATATGTGCTATTATGGTACAAATAATAAGTCAGAGCAGCATGGGTTTTCCATTAAAAAACCAGTAACAGTCTCGAAGAAGTTGCAGGTGGGAGGTCACAGTGGGCCCTACGGACATGGGATACGGTGAGGAAAGGAGACTTCCTGCATTGCAGGCGCTCACAGGGCTTATTTTTCGATGTGCAGAGATTGACACACCATCCCAGATGCAAGTGACCGATGTTCAGGATAGCAGCATCAGTGTCAGATGGCTGCCTTCAACTTCTCCGGTCACGGGTTACCGAGTGACAAGCGTCCCCAAGGATGGCCATGGGCCCATGAAAACGAAAACTGTCCCTGCGGGTGAGTATGTCTTCACATCCCTAGGGATCTCGTCCCAATTGCCTGGAGTCCATCGGCACCAGGGGAGTCACTTGAGAGTGCCTGGGGCAGATTTCCCTCTCCCGGCCTGAGCATATTGGCTTAAGGGCTCTTCTGGTGACTTTGCATTTTGCCCTCTGGGACATTTCAGTGTGTTTTACCAGCTGCGCTGGGATTAGCTCTCAAGGCTGCTTGCTGCTGAGGTCAGGTTAATGTTCAATCCCATTCCAAAAAGTGGTGAGGATCTGGCTGCATTTGTTTTGTTTCTCTAACGTGGAGAGACTGATCACAGGGCTCCAGCAGCCTCAAGGGGCCTTCGAGTGGGTATGAATGACAGTAACACTCACTTGAAGGGCTCTTTGCATTGTCGGAGCAGGCTGAAGGAGCCTTGGTATACGTGAGTCAGGCCAAGTTCTGCCAATCTAGTCTGATTCTGCTGCCGTTTGGCATCGCAGCGGGTCTTAGGGCACAGTTCAGTACCTTTGCTCAGTACCGCAGCAAGGCAAATTCACCAAAGTTTGGTCCAGCTTTAAAAATAAGGCCCACGAGTCGAAGCACACAGTCAGAATTCCCCATGGGAATGAATGTGTAGCTGCTTGGCTGTGCTACCCCCCTGCTTCCTCCCACCTCCCCAAGCTCTGCAATGAGCTGTGCCCATTCCATGCAAGGGACTAGGCCAGGAAGCTGCAAAAAGCTGAAAAGGTTGGTGAGCCATAGAAAACCCTGCCCCAGCTCTGCGGGTTCTCAGCAGCCACCCAGAGAGGCTGCAGAGTTCCTGCTGTGCTCAGCCCCCTCCAGCAAAGGCAGCAGGTCTGCCATGTGACCACTAGTGACTGAATCTCTCTGCCCTCTCCAGTAGAATTCCCAGACAGAGCCACGCTGACTAGTCCCTGGTTTTTACGTAGCGAGTAGCAGGGGGCACGTGAGTCCTTCAGTGAAATTGCTTTGGTTCCGTTTCCTGGCCCCTCCCACTTTCCCCAAGCAACCCACACAGAGTTTCTGCGGAGATGGGAAGGAGACAATCTGCATAGCCACTTTTACCTGCACGCGGCCACCACGCACAGCTTCGACTATGACTCTGCTCCTCTCTCTGCCACATGGCACCAAGGGGACTGATTTCAATGGGAGTTTGGCACCTAAATACCGTTGAAGATCTAGGCTTAAGACACAAAATCATCTCTCTATTCCAAATTATCCTTGTGTTGTCTTTTCCTTGCAGATCAAACCCAAACTACCATCGAGGGCCTGCAGCCCACAGTCGAGTACGTGGTTAGTGTCTATGCTCAGAATCAAAACGGAGAGAGCCTCCCTCTGGTTGAGACCGCCGTTACCAGTATGTATTTAATTTCACAGAGGACACAAAACAACCACCAAACCCCCCTCTAGTATCTTCTGCTGTGTGCACCTTTTACTGTGGGAACTCTGGGGACATCTAGATTCCAGAAAAGGACGAGCGCCCCTCTCATTAAGAAATAGCTAGCTGGATCAGCTGCCAAAATATGCAGCCCCCCAAAATGCTGCCAAAATATGCAATCCCCCACAATGCCGTGCTTTTATTTTCTTTCACTAAAAATGGCCAAAGCAAAATCATTTTTCTTTTTTGTTTTTGTTTGTTTTGTTTGCCTTTAGCGAATCTTTGAAAAATGTTTTGCAGAGACCTCATTTCTAGAGCTGGAGGGCAAAGGTGGTTTTAGAGGGCTAGATTTTAACTTGGAGCATTTGCCAGAGCGAGGGAGTAAGAACCCACTTTACACCCTTTTGTAGGCCACTAGACTTTGGGACCAGGTATGCAAAAGTAAGCATGACTTACACACCCGATTGCTCACTCCCGAGAGCAGCTGGGTGGGCAATGGGCGGCGTCTTGGCCCATCTGTCTGCGTACTGGCCTGCTGGTACTACTTGGGGAGCAAGGAGACAGCAGGGAAGAACCTGTCACTTAGAGGGGTGTTTCTAATGCTCAGTGTCTCCCAGGGCTACTCCTGGTGCATCATGGTTTATGAACCTGTCCTTGCTCAGGCCCGCCTGTAAAGCCACAATCTAACCCAAATAACTATAAAACTATGGTTATAGCAGAACAGGAATTTTCTTGAAGTGTTGCATAGGCGTATGGCACGAGCTGCATCAGTCTTAAGCCAAAAGTTTCCTGTAAAATCACCTTTGCTAACCTTAAAGCGTAGGGAATGCAGGTCTATAGGGCTAACATCACATTGCAAAACAGTGGCTCTGTGAATCATTATGAAGATTAATTCATATCTGATGATTACGGGCCCAATCTTCAGCAGGTGTAAATGTGGATAGCTCCACAGAAGTCCTCACCGGAGCTGTGCGTATTTACCCTGGCTTACGATCTTACGCTCAAGTGTAATCGAATGAGAAGACGACAATGAGGGGCTCTAATTTGTGGGTATATTTGTGAGATCGTTGTGTGTATATGGGCATCCCATGCACGCTCGTTACAAAGCCAAAGGTTTCTATTGATTTAGAATATAATCGACGTAGTCATTTGCTATTGTTACAAATGATTTAATTGGATGTTAATTTATGAAAGAAAATCGCGGGACTGATGCTCCTCGGCCTCGTACGGTTACTTACACTAGTGAAGAGTGAGCGCAACAGGGGTGTAAAAGGCTACGAAATCAGAATGGTGGGGCCTGATTTCAATGCACACCAAGGCACCTTACCTCCCTGGGCCAGTGGAAAGGAGACTCATAGCGGGTGCAAATTACATTTCTGGCACTTTAAGGCCTTTCTGTCCGAGCCGAGTGGCGTAAAGGGGCCTTAGTGTAAACGAGAATCAGACACATGGTGGGGTGAAATATTGGCCTTATTCAAGTCCATGGCAAAACTCCTATGGACTTCAGTGGGGCTGAGATTTCACCCATTGCGTTTTACACTCACTAAGCAGAGGTGTAAAGATCTGTGCAAGGCAGGGGAGAATCGGGCACCTGCAAACCTGAAGACTGCTTTGCATGTAATCAAAATGCTTTTTTCCCCCCTCCCCACAACCTGCTTTTATCACATAACCTCTTACCGTTAATTTGCCTAACAGACATTGACCGCCCTAAAGGACTGACATTCACTGAGGTGGATGTCGATTCCATCAAAATTGCTTGGGAAAGCCCCCAGGGGCAAGTCACCAGCTATAGGGTGACCTACTCAAGCCCTGAGGATGGAATCCATGAGCTAGTGCCCGCCCCCGACGGTGAAGACGACACTGCCGAGCTGCATGGCCTCAGGCCCGGTTCTGAGTACACTGTCAGCATCGTTGCCTTGCACAATGACCTGGAGAGCCAGCCCCTGATCGGGACCCAGTCCACAGGTACACCTCTGTCTACACCGCCCAGCAGGCCAGAGCAACCATGGCTTAAGCCCTGGTGGTTCCTGTGTCCTTCTGTGTGCAACTGGTGCCTGGCTGCGGGAGAACCTCCATAGGAGCCTGGGGGATATTTGCTATTGAGAGGGGACTTAGTTTGGTTGGAGAGGTGGATGATGCTTGAAGATTACTAAGTATTTATTAAGTAAACCTCTAGAAGGGCCACATCACAGATACCTCAGAGCAGGCATCTTCCATCCCCTTTTAGCCCCTGTCCCTACCGATCCTAGTGCAATTCAGGGGGTGATCTGGTCCCCGGCACACATTAGAGCAGCCTAGCCTGAGCAGACAGTAACAGTCCTCAAGGAGCCATCCCAGGAGCGTATCACACACTAGCCACACCCCCTCCTCTCTTGGGATGCCCAGGATGGCAGTGGCAGGACCAGGGACAGATGATATCAAGGGCAAAGGGTGGTTTCCTGTCCCTTTTGTGCTGCTAGGACAGCGCAGAAGGAATGGATCGGAGGCCAGGACCCATCCTTTAAACATATATATTCTTTCAGGTCAGTCCCTGCTATACCTATAGGCCACTTAGCCCTTTTGTACCCCAAGTGCGTCCCAATCCCTCTTTGGCATTGCTCTGAAAGAGCTGCTGTATGCTCACGGCCTGCCCCCAGCTTCATTTGCACCTTTCCCACAACAGGGTAAAGGTAGGCTCCCTTCAAAAGAGGGCCTCCAGTACCTAACCATCCGGTCCTCGTTTCAAGGGTACAACAGGAGAGATAAGATTGTTCAAGCATCCGATGCCTGACATGGAGTCCATGAAAAGTTCCATCAAGAGAGGCCTAGACACTCTCTGGCTCTGGATATTGCAGGTTACCTTGTTTGCTGTCTCACAGCTACAACTGTGCTTCATTGACCACATCCATGCTGGTGTGATACACTCTTTCACGGGAGCATGGCCGTCCCGCTAGAGACCACATCAGAGCCAGATCCTGCTAGATCCATTGATTAAACTTTTAGTAACCAATCTCCTCTATGGAATAAGAGAAACATGTGCACACACGCACGCACACACAAAATAATTACCGTTTCCTCGTATATTGATTTAGAATTTTCCTCTTGCTAAATAATTCCCAATTCACACCAGTGGTCGTATAAATTTCAACTGGGTCTTTGTTCAAGAAATGGGAACCGGAACTATTATGGGAGCTCTGTCTGCTGCCAGCAATCTGAAATCTACTGCAGAGTTTCCCACGTTGCCAGCCAAGTCCTGATAGCACTGTACAATCGACACCTCCATTAATTTGCAAATGAAAAGCTGACATTAAAATTCCCTGAGTGCAGGGAATTTTATGGATCTTAATTTACAGATTAATATAAAAAAGAAATCTTGGACAGGCTGTTTATACCTGTCATAAACGTAAACAATAGTTCTTAAACCACTGTCTGGGTTTACCCTTTTGGGACCCTTTTACAAAGCTATTGGAGTTCTGTTGATTTTCATGGGCTTTGAATGAGGACCTATTTCAGTAAGCAAGGGAGAATTGCATTGTATCTACATGCTGTACTATCAGAGTGGTTTGCAGCACCGTGGTAATGGTGGGCATGATGGTAAGCTATATATTCTGTTGTAGACCAAGAATGACAACTAATAAGACAATCAATATGTCCCATGGTGCTTCTATTTCTTCAGTTTATAGGAACCAAATGATTTCTTCTAAAAAGTTCTTTATTCAAGCATTGAGTTTATTAGCTCAGGAAGATATCGTATGTAAACAGCATTATGGCTTTCACAGCCCTGAGTCTCCACTGCCTTGTGTAGTCTCTACACCTGTGTAGGTGGCTGTCAAATGCTCCTATTTGGCCGTGGCGGTATTTTTACATCCTCTCTGTACTCACTGGGCCTTCTGCTCCACTCTCATGCCCTTGTACATCTGGAGTAACTCTGTAGAGGTCAGTGGAGTTAGACAAGCTGCAAGGCAGTGGTGAAACTGACCTAAAATATCATGTTGGGGGCATGAAGAGTAGAGAAAGGCAGAAGAGGAACGGACATAGAGACTGACCTACTGAATGTATGCACCACCAAAGCCAGCTTTTCTGGAGAGAAGTAGCATCACAGATTTGGGCATCCAAATCTGATCCTTGAACACCTTAGCTCCTAGGGATACGGTGACGGGATCCAATAGCTACCCAAGATAGATCATTACCCTAGGCCCTTGCTTGTGTATTTCACACCTAGGACTATTTCATACTCATGATTGATAAATGCTATCTTGATTGGTGCCATGTTCTTCCAAACTAACAGTTGTCTAATTACAATTTTCACAGCGATTCCTCCTCCAACAAACCTGCAGTTTGTTCAGGTAACTCCAACCAGCCTGAAAGTCAACTGGAACGCGCCCAACGTTCGTCTCACTGGCTACAGGGTGCGAGTGAATCCCAAGGAAAAGACGGGGCCGATGAAAGAAATCAACCTCGCCCCAGACAGCACATTTGCTGTTGTGTCGGGATTAATGGTGACTTTTTGATCTTTCATTTTAACGGGTGCGGCCTGGGAGGGGGGATGTTGGATTTCTTAAGCAATTTAAAAATGCTTTGGGCCAGAACTGCAGCAGGGGTAAATCAGCAGAGCTCCTGCCAATCCGGACTTTGTTTTAAGTCTGGTTAGCTGTGGAGCATAGTCCCTTGGATCCCAATAGTTAAAAGACAGTGGATCTGTCTGCTTAAACTGGAGTCTGCCTGTCCCCTCTTCACGCCGCCCCTTCCAATACAGCCTGGGGACTTCTCCGGCAAATATGCGTCTGTCATACACAAGCTACTGGGCTCGTTACCAGAGCAATGGTGAAATTCTCTGGCTGGTGTTATGCAGGAGGTCAGACTAGAGGCTCTAACGGTCCCTTCTGGCCTTAGACTCAGTGAATCTATTGACCATTTTTTTGGAAGCTTCTGAATAATTTGCAAAAATTAAAATTTTTCATTAAATTCATTTTCAAACCTGAATTGGGCCAGTTCCAGCTGCTCTAAATTGAATTAGTTCCAGTGGAGTCAAGGGCTGCTGATCTGACCCCAGTTAAACGGCGATCTGGAACTTCCATTGAAATTTTTCTCAAAGCAGAGCACTCTTTGGTAGTACAATGTTTCTGTTAGCATTAGGTAGCTCAGTCCATATATTACCTTCTTCTCAGGAATCCTAAGCTTCTGCAGCCCAGAGATGGCTTCCTGCCCCCAAAACCTCAGAGCCATCCAGGTTTCCACTGTAATTTCTTCTGCTTCCATGTGTGTGGGGGAGGGCTGGCTCAGTGGTTTGAGCATTGGCTTACTAAACCCAGGGTTATGAGTTCAATCCTTGAGGGGGGGATTTAGTTGGGGATTGGTCCTGCTTTGAGCAGGGGGTTGGACTAGATGACCTCCTGAGGTCCCTTCCAACCCTGATATTCTATGATTCTACTACTGTTATAGATCCGGAAATGCTGTAAGCGGATAATCACATAACTTTTTTCTTTAGCCAGCTATCTGGCCAGCAAATATTATGGTTGTACTCCAGTATATACTTAGCACTGCTGGCCAACATTCATGAAGGATCTTGGGTTCCTAGTACTGGCTGCCCTTGCTCTACCAGGCTTCCCAGTTCAATTTTTTTCATATATTTATTTCAAATACATTTTCAAAGTTAAGGTTTCAAGCAGTTGCTAATAACAGTTTCAGCCTAAATGTGGTTTGCTGGGGGGAGGGGGGAGAGGGAAACAGGGGCCTGATTCAATTCTGACTTGCGTCTGTTTTATACCAAAGTAACACCATTGACTTGAACTGAGTTATGCCAGTTTAACTGAGATGAAAATCAGATCTCACTTTTTTTTATTTTTGCATTTAACTGGAAGTAAATCTAACCCTCCTGGTGATTTTGAGCTCACTTGATTTCTATTTTTTTTTTTAAGAGTTTCATGTTTAAATAGGACATCCATGGTGACTAACCAATGTGAATCTACTAACTTCTCGATTAGCTCATGCTTGTTTCCCTGTGTCCCAGCTTTACCTGCTTTTCTGAAGATCAGACATTCCATGTAGCTCCCTGATCATTGTATAACTTGGTTATTTCTAGGTGGCAACCAAGTATGAAGTCAGTGTGTATGCTCTGAAGGACTCTCTGACTAGCCAGCCAGCCCATGGTGTGGTCACCACCCTCGAGAGTAAGCAATCCTACTTTACAAATAGCAGCAGGTGCTATGCATGGAGTCAATGGGTTAAGTCCTGCGTAAGGACCTAGCAGATGCAACTGAGTGAAGACATCATCAGCATGTAGCCCTTTAAAAATAGTTGATGAATTTCAAAGATTCTTTTAGGGGATTTTTTCTTGTAGCCCTCCCCTACCCCCTGCCAAATCATTGCTTCTGCCCGTTATACTGATCTCAGATCCTTCTGTGCAGATATCAGCCCTCCCCGCAGAGCCCGTGTGACAGATGTTACCGAGACAACCGTCACAATCACCTGGCGCACCAAGACAGAAACTATCACCGGTTTCCAGGTTGAAGCCATCCCAGCAGATAGCCAGAGCCCCATTCAACGGACCATTAGCCCTGATGTTAGATCCTCCACCATCACCGGTAAATGAGATTCTTCATCAGACCGTCTCTTCTGCATTGTAATATCTTCCAGTGACCAGGCTCATCGGAGATACATTTGGTTGCTAATCTGTACTGGGGATACCTTGGTGGGAATGGAGCTCAGGTGGAATTTAGGTGCCCCGTCATGCTGATCTTCTAACACACATACACATTATCTTGAGAACCCTCATTAAAGCCTTTGATCCTACCAAGCCCTCTGAGAGCAGATTGAAGATAACAGACGTTCCTTGCATGGAGGGGTTATAGAATCTGGCCCTGATTTGATGGGAGCGCAGGAAAATAGTCTTGTGAGCGTTCATATTTTGTCTGAGGATGGAAGTGTTTTCCAGAGCAGCTGCTAAGGAAGTGCACTTTTTCAGACCATTAATACTCTTGAGTACTGGATTTTTCACTTGCACTTTGCAGACCTTGTTTCACATCATGATCAGAGCCTTCTTAGTCGGTCCAGAGGTCCAGTTGCCTGATTTCATGCAGGACTGATCTTTCTAGACCATCTCCATTAGGAACCTTCTAAGATCTGAATAGATCTCCAGTGACTATCATTTCACGACCCTCTTGGTTCCATTCCCTAGATCATCTTTCCATTCATGTTTTCTGCTGGTTCCACTGGTATATTGTTTCGCTTTTCCATTCATTATTCCTACCCTGATCATTGAGAACTAATGAGAACAATGTCCCCATCTCCTTGTAGCAACCCTTTATGCACTGATTGGTCACAGTTTTGTGCCCTGTATCTGAAGCTAAGGGAGAGCAATGGTGGGAGGAGGATGAATACCCTGTTAGAAGATGTGTATTTCTTGGATAAAGGTAATAACCATCTCGGATTTATGAGTGGGATTTTCAAAAGCACTCGGCATGGACCTAACTCTGCCCCCATTGACTTCAGCGGGAGCAAAGTTAAGCCAACAGGGTGCTTTTGAAAAATCTCACCCCTAATTCTTTGCAGGTCTACAGCCAACACACCCAGCCTGGGCATTAAGAACTAGTTAGATTCTACCTGTAGCAGTGATTGCAGCAGCTTTCTGTATCACTTTTTAACCAGGCAAGGCTGAAACTGTAATATTTCTACTCTAATTCCAGGCTTGCAACCAGGCACGGACTATAAGATCTACCTTTACACCGTGAACGAGAATGCCCGCAGTTCCCCTGTAGTGATTGATGCTTCCACCGGTAAATGGCACTTCTTGTTTCTTTTACATCTGAACAGAAATTATACTTGTGCTTTCCTTGACTTTGATCTTATCTGTAGTTTACTGCATTTTACAGCCTTATTTTTCCCTCTTTGAGCATGAAGTGGATTATCGTCAGCAGGTGACTGCAGTCCATGGAAACCCGTCATTTGTCTTCAGCCCTCAGGGCAGGGGAGATGAAGTCATGTTTGCTTTTACCACATTCATTAACTGATTTTGTTTGCTCTTAGCCATCGATGCTCCTTCCAATCTGCGCTTCCTCACAACCACAAGCAACTCCCTGCTGATTGCTTGGCAGCCGCCCCGTGCCCGGGTCACGGGCTACATCCTCAGATATGAGAGACCTGGCACACAGCCCAAGGAGCTGATCCCTCGCCCCCACGCCGGCACCACGGAGGCCACTCTTACCGGTACGTCTGTTCCATTTGGGAGTTCATCTGGTTCATGCCCCCTGCACTGAACTGAGAATCTCACTTAGATGGTGGCAATCCCCATGTGATCCAGCAGGGGGGTCAGGAGGTGTACGGTTACCAGCACCACGGGTCTTGGCCCAGGTGGGGATCAGACACTGTGGAGCTGTGCATGTGGGCAGAGCCTGGGATCCACTCCATCCCCACCACGTGCCAGCCAGTGCCACTGAGCAGGCACTGAAGGACAAATAATCTGTACCAGGTAAAGGGCTGGTGCAGATTACACCCTGCTAGAGCAAGGAGAAGCCAAAGACGACGATGTAGTCTCAAGTTGCAGTGGGGGAGGTTTAGGTTGGATATTAGGAAAAATGTTTTCACTAGGAGGGTGGTGATGCCCTGGAATGGGTTACCTAGGGAGGTGGTGGAATCTCCTTCCTTAGAAGTTTTTAAGGTCAGGCTTGACAAAGCCCTGGCTGGGATGATTTAGTTGGGAATTGGTCCTGCTTTGAGCAGGGGGTTGGACTAGATGACCTTCTGAGGTCCCTTCCAACCCTGATATTCTATGATTACATAAGGAAACCTAAATGGATTCTTTGTGCTTAGTACGACTCTGATTGGAAAGTGCATTTTATTTGTGCAGAAAGCTCTAGTATTAGAAACCATAGCAGGGAGCGAAACCTTGAGGAGTCTCTGTTTAGCTATCCCAGACTCATTTTGTAATTAGGGGTTTCCTCAAGCATGAGGTCATTCTGTTCCTCCCCAGGTCTGGAGCCAGGAACCGAATACACCATCTACATCATTGCTGTGAAGAACAATCAGAGGAGCGAGCCATTGGTTGGCAGGAAAAAGACAGGTAAAATAATGTTCCGGTCCACCCGGAGGGGAGAAGTTGACCTCTCCTCATTGGGGAATTAGAGTCTCAGCCCTGGGGGTAATGTCTTCTCCAGAGGGCTAATTTTATAACATTGCTTAAAATATCCTTTTCACGGGTGTATGTTCTTAATCAAATACAAGCTTTCCCTAAGTGACAAGCTGCTTGTAGAAAGTAAGCATTTTTCCTTCATTTTCTTTTTCTTCCTTAAAAAGAGGGATACATTTTCATAAGCAGGGGTTCTGCAACGGACGAGGCGATCTGCTGAACAATGCAAAGCACAGTTCAGTGGACTCCGACACTGAGGACCTGAGATTGCATTCAGTTTGTTTCTTCCTTTCAACCATAATGAAATGAAAGCTAACACTCACTTTTCCTTCTTGCCTGTGATGGGCTCAGTGGGAGAAGCCCACATAGATGGAAGCTGTTCATTTGGTGCACACTTTTGATACATTTGAATTTGTCTGACTTTGTGTCCTGTCTGTGAGGCGCTGCAAGGAGAACGTAGCCAGTAAAATCTCTGTCATCCAGCTGGAGACCTCAGTAACATACGAGGGAATCCCTTCGCACATGCCCAAGGTTCTCTTCAATTGATAGACTACGAATGTCTATTGCAATCACCTCTTGTTTTCTTAATTTGCGCATTGGTGGCTTCTCTGGGCGCAGTGACCATAGCTTTGCCTCAATAGTATGAAAATTAATTATTTCTCTTACCCTCCCCACACTTCAAAATATAGATATAAAAAAATAGCCTCTGTAGCGTAATCCCAGAGAGGTCAAAAAAAGTGTGCTGTACTCGTGGGAGAATTGCTAACCTTTAATTGCTTTGAGCGCTTTACAGCATTCACTGTAGTTGCCTAGTTTATCATAACTAATGCTGGGGCTTAAGGTGCTTTGCTTTATTGCTTCTAACCTTTCTCTGGCTAGATGAGCTCCCGCAGCTGGTAACCCTGCCGCACCCCAACCAAGGCGGACCGGAGATTCTGGACGTACCTTCGACTGTGGAGAGGACTGGAAATGGTATCCAACTTCCAGGCACCAGTGGCCAGCAAACACTAGTGAACCAGGGACAGCAAGTCTTCTTTGAGGAACATGGTTTTAGAAGGACCACCGCTCCCACCACAGCAACTCCCATTAGGCACCGGCCGAGACTGCAGACACCAGATGTGGACGAAGAAATCAACCTCAGTAACAGGTACCCAGTCCCGAGAGTGGACTCGGTTGAGCAGTCATTCCCTCACTTACCAGGGTCCAGGCGCAATGACACCACAGGCCAGGAAGCTCTTTCTCAGACAACCATCTCTTGGAGGCCCCTGCTGGAGAGCTCTGAATACGTCATCTCTTGCCAACCAGTCGGCACCGACGAACAGCCTTTACAGGTAATCGATTGGTTTTTCTCAGATGCACTGTGAATGCTGCCACGCTATTGGAGTTGACTACAGCAGTCCTCAGACATTTAAGGAGACAGGACCTTGGGATTCTAGCTTCCCGTGGTTGCATTGTAGAGTTGATATAAGCGAGTTCTGGTTCTAAGATTCCATCTGCAACCATCCTAGGTAACTTCTATTTGCCACTTCACCGTGTAGTATTAGCAGCCTTGCCAGGTTAACGCTGTTTTAGCCTCTGGCTGAGGGCAGGCCCTGAGGGTGGCACTGTGCCTGAGGGAGAAATGAGGGTATATTAGCTAAAACAGAAAGACCCCGGGGCTCTGTTTGCACTTCTCCGTAAGAAAGTGCTAATACAGCGAAGGAGATGCTTGGGGATTTTATCCTATAAAAATGCTTAAGAAGAGACCGAGACAAGGTGGTGGAATCTCCATCACCGGAGGGCTTTAAGAACAGGTTAGACAAACAGCTGTCAGGGAGGGTCTAGATAATACATAAACCTGCCTCAGTGCAGGGGGCTGAACTCACTTACTGAGGTCCCTTCCAGTCCTACACTTCTATGGTACTATGAAATTCAGTAGTGGAATGAGGCAGCCAAGTTAATATTGCTGGTCTAAAGATGGTCTTGTGGCTAAAGTAAAACCCTGGGAATTTCGGGGATTTGGGTTCTGTTCCTGTTCTACTACAGACTTCCTGGGTGATATGGGGCAAGTCACTTCACCTTTGTCTAAAACTGAGATCGTAGTAGATCCCTACTTCACCATGGGACATGGAGGCTGAATTCATTGATATTTGTTAGGCACTCTGGGATCCACGGGACTGGGCCCCATTTTGCTAGACACGGTACAATCACGTATGAAGACTCCAGCCTTACCCTCCTGCAGCCTAAGAAGCATACTCTTGCTAAAGCCAATTTTGTGGTGATGTACTTGCAGTTCAGAGTTCCTGGAACTTCCTCTTCTGCTACCCTGACCGGCCTTACTAGAGGTGCCACCTACAACATCATCGTGGAGGCACTGAAAGATCGTAGGAGACACAAAGTTCTGGAGGAGGTTGTCACAGTGGGCAATGCTGGTAGGTTAAAGCTAAACAGTCTGGGCAAAACTCTGCCTTACACCTCTTACCCACAGCCCGGATCTCACCGGGCACTCGCTAGGCCGCAGTGCAATAGGTTAGGAGCACCCTGTTTCCTCGTTTCACATCTTATTTACAACGGACACTAAAGAAACAGTTCTTTCTGGTTCTGTGGCGCAGATGACTATGCAGTATACTGACTCGATGATAAGAGCTCAGGCTAGTCTACTGCCTGAATGTGCATTGAGAGCGAGGTGGGTGCCGACCAACTTCTGGTGGTGAAAGGGACTGTCCTAGCAGAAGTCAGAGGTGCTAGGCCTGTGATAATGCCAGTGTCATGGCCAACATTCCCACCCAACATCGAATTACTGGAACCAAAATAATGTACCTACCATGACAAAGGGGTTACTCTGAGTCCACCTTCTCCTCCCTGTCTCTCCGGTGACCAACGGATGGCAATTGGCCAGATGAATTGCTGTGTCATCTCCCTGGTTAATTGAGTTGCCTTCTGGGAGGCTGTCTTTGGGCCACAGGGTCCAGCTATCCCTGCCTGACAGCTGTGGTGTAACCAACACCTCTGCTGGGTGTAAATCGCCTGGCATGTTCGCTGTATACGGGCAAACTGGCTGGGTAGAGTCCGACTCCACATGGGCAGACTTTGGGACCTTACATGAGCAAGATCCCTCCCTCAGGTATACCTTCTCCTCTGTCACTTGAGGTTTCGTTCTGTGCCAGAGTTCAGCTCGAGCCCCTGTAGACCCAGCACGCCTGAAATGTATCACTCCCCCATTGTGCATCACAGAATCCAAACGCCCACTGCTCCGTGCGAGTTCAGCACGTTGCTTTGTAAAGGTGGGTTAGTTAGATCATTGCTTTCCAGTAGCGAATGCAAAATGTGTGCGTGCTTGAAACCTGGCAGGTAAAAATGAAAATAACTTTCACCTATGAAGTTTTTACCATCACTCTACTGCTCTGCCAAAAGCACCTGTAAATAAATGCTAGGGAGGCTGTTATGCTGACAGCGCAGCTAAGCGAATGCTCCATCACTATTGGGAATGTGCATTCAGTTATGACCGTTCTTCTAGGTTTGTATCCCTGTGTATAACGCCTCTTTGTTCTCTTCTTTCCAGTGTCTGAAGGAGTGAACCAGCCAACCGACGACACGTGTTATGATACTTACACTGGCTCCTTCTACTCCATTGGAGAGGAATGGGAGCGATTGTCTGAAACGGGCTTTAAACTCTGGTGCCAGTGCTTAGGCTTTGGCAGTGGTCATTTCAGATGTGATTCATCTAGTGAGTAGCTTGCTTTTGTCCATCCCTGCAGACCGCTAAACTCCATGCCTAATTAGCACCAACGGCATGTTTGGCAGATGCAATCTGACCCAAACATGAAGCAAATAAATGCACACACTAGTACATGTTTTGCATCATCGAATGATGGAAAACTGGTTAACTGTGGTTGAACTTGGCAGGTTATCCAGTCCTGCTGTTCACTGTATAAGCAATGGTCATGTTTGTATTTATCTGTAATGCTTCTGTGAGGAAATTAACATTTTCCCTTCCATTGCTAGGTGAGTCCAGTTAATGCTTGAAAATGAGAGATTGCGTGTCTAAAGTAGATCAGAACAGTCATTTAAGGAAACAACCCTGCATAATTAAATATATTTGATCTCTAAATCCTAACTTTATCCATCAGCACAATGGATTTGATACAACTCCCATTAAGTTGACTTGTGACCAAAGTTTGGTTTGAATGTACCGTCAGAACACCTTGAGGCTGGCAATCAGCCAGCATTGCCAAACAAACAGCACCACTGCACTCGCATGTAGTTTGAGTCTTCGCAGGACTTGGGCTTACGTAGACAATAGTCAGCTGAAGGGTCGGGGATGAAACAAAGTCAACGCCATTAAGTGGTTCTATAGGGCGTGTGTCTTACTGATTTAAATTGTGCTTTATATTACAAAGGAAGCAAAGCAAAAAGGGAATTTCTATGTTGTATGTAGCTTTGAGAGTAATTGCTACAAGGAAGACATTTTTTTCACAGGTCTAATCGTTCTATTACATCATTTGGTACACGAGGTTTAACTGTTGTTTTCCCATTATCGGTGTGAAATGACTATACTGTGTATTTACTTCTTTAAAAGACAAGTACATTTCTTCCCCGCCTCTCTCCAGTGCCTGTTTAATTAAGCTTCCTTTTTATGTAGTTCCAGGGATTCCCTACGAATGACATTTTTAAATTCTTTCCCACCCCTTCCTTCCTGGAGAGGCTCCTCCACCTTTCCCCAATCTAAAATGGCCCCTCTCCCGCGTAAAGTTCTAGTTTCAGATCGACAGCTGGGAAAAGGAGGGACAACTCTGCTCACATCCAGAGAGTTGTGCCCGTTTACACCAGCCATGGATTTCTCCTTGGACTTCTCCCTCCTCCCCTTTGGCTGGCCCATGAGGCTTCACAGATCAATTCTCTGCCCCTTAAGCAACAGGCCTGTGTAGAGTAACCACCTGACTGTTGTTCCTCTGGTTCATTCAGAATGGTGCCACGACAACGGGGTGAACTACAAGATCGGGGAGAAGTGGGACCGCCAGGGCGAGGGCGGCCAGATGATGAGCTGCACGTGTCTTGGCAACGGAAAGGGAGAATTCAAGTGTGACCCGCGTATGTCCCTTCACATTGACGTTAATTCTCAGTTTCAGGCTTTCATCTTATCTGTGCTCTTAGCATCTTGCCATTGTGACACAGAGTGGGTGGAACCTAAGTACGGTTAAAATGGGCCTGTTTTCCTCTGTGTAACACGGCACTCCATGGTGGGTGAACAGTAGGGGGGACTCAAGCTAGAATCTCTGGCTTTTAGAGCATGAACTAAACGACCCTTCTCTGTTAGACAAGGCTGTAGCAGGCTCATCAACCTCCAGGCCCGCCAACAGGGCGGGCAAAGGAGACAATTGCCCAGGGGCTGGGGGGATTTAAAAGGGCCCAGGGGCCCCTGGCCACTGCTGCGGTAGCAGTGATGGCCGCCAGGAGCCCCGGCCCTTTTAAATCGCCCGGGAGGGCCGCAGGGTCCTTACGGACCCGCGTGACACTCTGGGCCCTGTACTTTGGGGGGCCCCACTGACCAGCGCAGTCGGTCCCGGAAGTGACGGCATATCATCACTTCCACCCCAGGCCCTGCCCCCACGCCCCAGGGACGCCCTGGCCCTGGGGCCCGGAATTGCTCTTGGATGGCCGGGACAGAGCACTGCATTGCCTTACAGATGATGAGTAAACGGAGTGCTTTAAATCAATTGACTCCCCCAACGCCAATCAATGAGTCATTGGCAGAACTGGAGACGGGAGCTTGGCCTCCTGGGTTCTTGCTCTAGCCGCCCCACCGCCCTACCCCCAAAGTCCTAATCCTTAAAAGCAAATATAGACCATGTGACGGAATCTTGCTTCTTCCTCTGATTCTCCGCAGACGAGGCAACATGCTATGACGATGGTAAGATGTACCACGTAGGAGAACAGTGGCAGAAAGAGTACCTTGGTGCCATCTGCTCCTGTACTTGTTACGGAGGACAGCAGGTAGGCAGAACTAGTCTGGCATGTTAATCCTGATGTGATGATGCATATTACTGGGAAACCAGTGGGGGAAATGTGACATGTTATTAATAGCTTGCTAAAACCTTAGACGTTTAAGTTTGAGTCAGCAATTACATGACCAGGGAATGCTGTCACCTCTGAAATAAACACTTGGAAAGGCCCTTCCCCCACAAAATCAGAGATGAATGTCAAGAAAAGTCAAAGTTGGTTGCCTTTGTGCCTCTCCCAGCTTTGCAAACACGTCCAGTACATCAACTAGAGATTCTCAAACTCTGGCCACAAGCCCTTAGTGGTGGTCTCTGAAGATAGGGGCTAGCTCATCCTCCTTTCCAGCTGCTGAATTATACATACTTTCCGAACACTTTTCCAGCTAAGCAGTTGCTGCGTGGACAGTTACATGCTCACACAGTGGTCGGGGAGAGGGGAGTGGGACATGTAAGTGGGGGAGGTGTTCATGAAACAGTCTCACTGTTGAAATGCAGCCCACGCTGGAAAAGTCTGAGAACCCCACTGCAGACTTACTTAAACCAACCCCCTACACTCCTCACCTGTGAATCAAAGGGTGTCCACGTTAGTGTCACACACAGCCAGAAGAGAGGCCGGTAGCAAGAAAAGCAACGAATGGGAATGCATAAGGAGGAAGGTAAAGCGGAGACCAGTCCCTACTTTAACTTCACACCATCTTCTACTTCCTTGCGGTGTGACTCATCACTGTTACGCTGGTGTCAAACCGGAGTAGCTTCATCGATGTCAGTGCAGTTTCCCCAGGGATGAAATCTGATTTGTGTATAAAGTATTAACGTCATCTGTCATGAGGATCCTTGGAAACAGTATCTGATTGAGGTGTGTTTCTCTAGGGCTGGCGCTGTGACAACTGTCGCAGACCTGGTGCTGAGACGGCCCCCGAAGGCGCTGCTGGCCACTCATACACGCAGTTTTCACAGAGATACCACCAGAGCACAAATACTGTACGTATAGAGACCCCATGTCCATTCGTTACGAGCCTTGCCTGGGGTGTGAGGGGGGAAGAGTGTATTACCCACAACTCTTGTTGTTAATAATCATAGATTAGAACCGCTTGCAGATTTCCATTTGTTCTGCAGTTGACACAAAATCTTTAAAGCCTTATTCAGCAAAGAACTTAAGCACATGCCTAAATTTTAAGCACGCGCTTAAGGTTGTTGATTATAATGGGACTTAATCACAGGTTTAAGTCTCACTACATGCTTTAGTACTTTGCTGGATTGAGGCCCTAAATAATGTGAGCTCTTCTCCATTCCAAACCTTCACATACTAGGGCAGATCAATAGAATGTTTTGTAGTGAGAATTCTAAACAGCTGCAAATGCAAGGAGTTTGGCTGCATTTCTCAGCTGAGATTACTACGTTACAGCACTTGTTTTTTACAGTATTGAGCACTAACTGGTTTCCTTTCCTCCCGACAGAATGTCAATTGCCCAATTGAGTGCTTCATGCCCTTAGATGTACAGGCAGACACACAACATCGACCAGGAAAGTAACATTCAGCAAGTCTTACACCATCAACAACAAAAATCTATCCACCAAGATGACCATCCAAACGAGTGATGCTAGCAAAACCAGATCTTTAAGAATGGCCTTCTGCTCCGGAGTCACTTTCCCAGCTTAAGCTCAACTCACAGCTTCTCCAAGCATCATTCTTGGCGCGTTTCAGACTTTTCTCATGATTGATAGCAGTGTGTATTGTTTTGTTTTTCTCAGTGTTTGATACCGTTCAGTATTTTCAAATGAAAAAAAGATACTAAATTGTGAATTCGTTGGGGATCAAAATAATACCGGGGCAGGGGGAGTAAATGGGATGGAAGGCTCCCTTGCCATGCCAACAAAAACGACACTACTAACGTTGAGAGGAAGGAAAGTCCACTGAACTCTTATGCTTTCACCTGAGCGTGCAGCCAGCAATAACCTAAGTGACTGCATACCCCATCACTGTGATATTTAAAATATGCACAGTCCTAATTCTTTCTAAATGATCCTATTATTTTTCTAGCTGTATCTTTGTATCTCATACTGTTATTTATCAGTTTTGTTCCCCATCCCTCAAGTGTTTTTATATGGGAAAAAATGTATTGAAGAAACTTAGTATGCAGTTGATAAAGAGGAATTTGGTGTAATTATGATTGGTGATTATTTTTTATACTGTAAGTGCCAAAGCTTTACTACTGTGGAAAGACAACTCTTTTAATAAAAAGATTTACAAACCAAACGTGTGGCTAGTGATTTTTTATTTTTGTTGTTGCAAGGGGGTTCAGGGAAAGAAGGTGTACGCTGAACTGAAATAGCTTTGCCTTTGGAAAGAAGAGGGGACAGCCGTCTTTCTGCCATATGAAGTTGAAAATAGGAGAATATTTGTTGATCATTTTCTTAAAGAAAGTAGCATAGAAAACATTATTTGAATTACAGTAGCCCCTAAAGCAGGGGTCGGCACCCTTTCAGAAGTGGTGTGCCGAGTCTTCATTTATTCACTCTCTAATTTAAGGTTTCACGTGCCAGTAATACATTTTAACATTTTTAGAAGGTCTCTTTCTATAAGTCTATAATATATAACTAAACTATTGTATGTAAAGTAAATAAGGTTTTTAAAATGTTTAAGAAGCTTCATTTAAAATTAAATTAAAATGCAGAGCCCCCCGGACCGGTGTCCAGGACCCAGGCAGTGTGAGTGCCACTGAAAATCAGTCGCGTGCCACCTTTGGCACGTGTGCCATAGGTTGCCTACCCCTGCCCTAGAGACACCAGTGGAGATCAAAGCACCACTGAGTTAGTACAAACCCCACAGAGCTAGCACACAGTAAGACAGTGATTGAGAGAACTTCAGGGCAGGGACTAATTAGATGAGCCAGACAAAGAACGGGAGAAAGGAAGTATTATCTGCATTTTAAAGATGATGGGAAACTGCGGGACAGCACTTAAGGCCTCATCCAACAAGGTATTTAAGCATGTGACTAACTTTAAGCACAATTGTTGTCTCATCAATTTGAATGGGATTACTGACATGCTTAACGTTAGCCCTATACTTAAATATTTACTGAACTGGGGTCCAAGCAACTTGCCCAGCATCCCAAAGGAAGTGGCCAAGCCAGGAATTGAACCTACGTCTCCTGAGATCAGGCCTATGCCGTAGCTACACGATCACCCATACAGAGTAAGCATTGGGGGGGGGGGGAAGATTATAAATGACCTTAACTCATCTCTCCTTATAACTGTTGATGGAGGATAATGTAATCACTCATTTCTAAGCAAGGGATGGAAATGTATAAAAGATACCGGTGTCAATTTTACAAGAATTTACAGATTCATACTACTTGAAAAATGAGCTGCTACATCTACATTCCTGACACAGCAAATTAAAAAATCAAACTGCAGAATACAGTTTGTTCAGGCACTCATGCTAGTAAAAGTGATCTCCGCTGTAACCTCTAGGTGCTACTGTAATACATATAAGGGAAGGAATTAATTTTACGGCACCTCAGCAGAAATTCTCCACAGTAAGGGAAGACAGATATATTGCATATATCTAAAATATGGGAACAGGGCAAAGAAATGGACAACTATTTCTAAACAGGTAACAACTGTGGAGTATTTGGAAGAATGTTTTGCTGTGATCTTGTTAAGGGAATGGAAAATGTTACAGTCTGATCAGTTATTCACAAACTTCCTAGTTTGATTTCTATTTACTGCTGAAAAAATGTATCCCTACTCCACCTGTTGAGAGACTTTCTGGTGTTTACTGAAACAGCAGTTTTACATTCAGCTATTCAGTTTTACATTCATCCAGCAGACTACCCCAACTCTAAAAATATTATCCCTGTAGAATTTTTTTTTTATTTTTAAAAAGCAAAGTCTGTTGGATTGCAATGAATTAAACTAGGAATAAGACCCTTTGGTTTGTACTGTCTGCATTGCAAAAACCTCAAGCTCAACACTTACGAGGAAATACCAAATGTGAAAGCTTCCCTGGTGATTCCTGGAGCCAAATTCTGCTCTTAGTTAAACAGGAGTTGCATTATTCAAGTCAACAGAATTACTCTGGATTTACTTAAATATAGAATGAGAATGGAATTTGGCTTCTTGACATGAAAAGTATGGTAATAGACACCAATTGTTTTAACAGATTTCTATCAGGCAGCTGAATTGTTTGCGACTAGTAAAATTGTTGCAGTAAGAATGAGCAGTATCCCAATGTTGTTCCAATAGATGAGCTAAATAAGTACCTAAAATATACCAGGGTTAGATCTACGGAGAGAACATTAATTTTCTTGTAAACTAGATTTCCCAAGCTGTTATTCATGCCCATCCAGACCTCACTAGAGGAATCTATGCCTTTATGACCTCAGCGCTAGATAACTAGCTCACTCTAGATAACTTAGGGCTGGTCTACACTTACCCCCCAAATCGAAGTAAGGTACGCAAATTCAGCTACGTGAATAACGTAGCTGAATTCGACATACCTTACTTCGACCTTACCGCGGTTCAGACGCGGTCCACACGCGGCAGGCAGGCTCCCCGTCGACTTCGCGGTACTCCTCTCGCTGAGCTGGAGTACCGCAGTCGACGGGGATCACTTCCTGGTTCGATTTATCGCGTCCAGACCAGACGCGATAAATCGAACTCGGAACTTCGATCCGCAGCCGTCAAACTAACCGGTAAGTGTAGACTAGCCCTTAGACACTATAAATCCTGCATCTTGGCAGGGGTTAGACTAGATGAGCCATGCATTGAGCAGTCTCTTCTAATCCTACGATTCATAGAGACACAGGAATTGCCAGACGGGTCAATCTTCTCCAGGGTCCTGTCTTTGCCAGTGGCCAGTACCAGATGCACCTGAAGAATCTGCAAGAAACCCCTATAGTAGTTATTTGTGGGATAAGCTGCCCCCAGAGAACATTTCCACCTGACTGAGCTCAGTTAGTCAGATGTTAGTTTATAACCTGGAACACGAATGTTAATATCCCCATATAAAGTTATAAAGCTCCCATTTATTCTTTTAATATTCTAACTCTGGATATTCTTGTCCTGGGGCTAAATGATGTATTTGGGGGTGCCCTTGATAACCATTAGCCAAGGGCAGAATAGAGGTCGTAGAAAGAACCGTGAAATGCAAGCAATATTTTCTTGTCAATTTTTTTTCAAAAGGGGAGGATGTTTGTGTGATGATTCCATCCAGCTCTATTGCAGAATGGGACAACAAAACTGCTCGAGGACTTCGAAGAGAAGGATTGGCCAGAAAATGATTTTCCCAGATGATGAGAATTTTTGAGATTTCAAAAGATTTTTCCCCATCTGTAGTGGGATGGTCACCCCGCTCCAGCCCTGAAGGGGTTAAAAGCAGTCTGGAGAGGGCTGCAGCAGGGCAAGAGAGTGAGGACAGCTGTGAGAAGCTGAGTGAGTCGCTGACCACAGCTGTGGCCAGCTTAATCAGGGTCCAGCTGGCAGGGCCGGCTCTAACTTTTTTGCTGCCCCAGGCAAAAAAGAAGAGCGCCGCCCTGCCCCCACCCTCCCTCCGAGCGCTGCGCCTCCAAATCCAAAAATAAAAAATAAAAAATCGAGCGCCGCCCTGCCCCAGGGTGCCGCCCCAAGCACGTGCTTGGTCGGCTGGTGCCTGGAGCCGGCCCTGCCAGCTGGCCCTGATAAGAGGGCTGGGGCCAGAAGCTAAAGACAGAGACTCTCTCTAACTTTGAGAGGGAGGGACCCGGCTGCAGGGAACTGAGAGAAGGTACCTGGAGTGGAGCAGGGCTGGGGGAAGGCCAAGGGAGCTGGGGAGCTCCGGCCTGGAAACCCCCCAGGCTGCGGCCTAGCAGAAGGCCAATTAGGTACTGGGGTTGCAGGGGGCAGCCCACGGGTAGGCAGAGGCAGGAGGTCCAAAACCCCCTTGCCTATGACGAGTGGCTTTTACACTGCAGTCTGCCCCAGTGAGAGGGGGCTAGATGGTGACTGGCAGTAGCCCACAACTGAGGCAAAATGGGGACAGGAGGTTGGGGGTTCCCTGGGGAGGGGAGACCCAGATTTCTGGGGTATTGCTAGGGGGCAGCACCCCAAGCACAAGGGGGCACCAGGTCCTGGGAGGGACACGGGGGCCAGCGGCAGTGGGACACCGGCCTGCAGAGGGCGCTCCAGAGGCTGGAAGAGCTATTTCCTGAGAGGACCATCAGGAGGCGCCGCAGGGGTGAGTCCTGCCCCGTTACACCATCCCAAACTGGGACAAACTGTCAAAAAGCTCTACAATTTTCACAAACTGGCCATTTTTGTTTCTTTTCATTTGGGTCAATTGAAATGTTTCGTTTGGCTATCTTAAACATGTTATATTTCAAATTTGAGTTGTTTAAAATTTTTTTATTCTAAATCCAGTTAAATTGCTCAACAAAAAGTCATTTTGAAATTAAAACCAAAACTTTTAGCTGGAAAAAATGTCAAAATGGGACATTTAGACAATTTCAAAATTCTTTTTCCCCCCCAACATTTTTTCAAGCTGGGAAATTCCCATTTGTCACCTATTCCTTGCCTGGTGTGGAGCATCACAGCATGGCACTATGATTTCACTGAAGCCAGGTCACAGGCTGGGACCAGACACTCCCTCTCCGGGTCCAAACAGGCCGTGGAGTTTAAGTTCCACAGTACAATGCAGACTTAAAACCACATCTATGAGCTCCTCAGACTCGGATCTGTGGGGATAACAAACTCTGCAGGCCCAAGAACAGCTGCTATTTATCCACTTTACTGCTCTGCATAGAGTCTATCGCCACCGAATTCAACCTATTGAGGTCAGGACCACTTTGGAATTTATAAGCTCTGTAGGGGAGGAAAGAGGAATTGGCTGAACGGGTCTGTGGTTTCCCCTTGCATGTAATGTACGATGTAGAGACAGCTATTGCAAAACTCTGAGCTGTGCCAGTGACAAAAATAAACAGGTTTTATAAGTGCAATCAAAAGATATCCCTTGGAATGTGCTGGCAAGAGCAAATAACCAGTATGTTACTTTGTTCACATTGCTAAACTCCAGATTTGCACTAGTTTTTCTAATCAGAGTTCAGCACAACGTAAAGTGAACTGTACATATCTGAGAACGGAAGTAGCTCTAGGCAAGATGCCTATGTATGAACTCTGAATTGAATTCACTTGGTACGAGAATCAAGCATGTAAGATTCACAGGAACTGGTATTTCCCCTTTCACCTCTAAGGGTACGTCTACACTACCCGCCAGATCGG